TCTACCAGGTGAAGCTTGGCACAACAATATTCCTCACCCATATCTTCATCTACGGTGTCTTTAACCACTGAGATCGAAGGGATTTTGCGCATCTGTTCTAAGGTGATCGTGAAGATGGCATGTGACCGACTGTACAAGAAGAAAATTTACTCTATCACGGATATAGAAACTGAAAATTAATGGACCAACTGTTAATGATGCCTCTACCATTTCTAACTTTCCAACAATTGCCGTTTATTGTAATGTTCAATATAACTACATTTTACTACTGGCTAAGCATCATTAACTGTAATTTTAAGCCAGATCTTGCTTCTTATAGAGATTCTCACCTCGACTCATTATTCATATTTGTACTCCCAGTTGCCCTGGTTAAAGATCCTTGCTCTAGACAGGAAGCCATTTCTTCTTTAGTAGCTATGGGAACTTCAGTTGCACCGGATAGTGTTATAACCCCGTTTGGTGATTCACGAATCTGCACCGGTGACTTACTAAGAACAACCTTTCCAGGGGTTCCATTGGCTAGTCTGTTAAACGGCACACTATCCAGCAAATCCAGAACTTCTTCTTTTAAAATCTACATACAAATATTTCCAGTTAATATCCATAAAACTATAATCTAGACAATTAATCTAGCAACCAACGGATGATACCTCGATGAAAGAGACATGTAACTGGAACCCCATTTGGTGCTTTACTGAATCAATTTTGTTAAACAAAGCACTCATAACTTGAGGAATCAACCCATTTTTTGTACCATCTTTAAAAGCAGTCCCCATAGTGTATGTCTTTCCAGATCCTGTCTGCATCATTTACGTAACTCAAATAGAAGAAACACAAAACAAAAAAAAAGCAGCTAAAACCAATTTTAGAAACTTTTTTATGTACCTGACCATAAGCCAAGACAGTAGCATTGTATCCATGAAACAAACCATCAACAAGAGGAGCAACACATTCTTCAAACATCAAAGAAGATGGAGAACCATTACTTCCATATACATGATCAAATGTGAATGAATGTGTTCCCATTTGCACCTATGCACCATCAACAAAACAAACAACACTATTTTAATACATAAACAATGTTAATACAATACCAACACAGACAAATGCATTATTTATTTATATATGATGTAACAAAAAACAAAATTGACACTGTTTTATAAGAAGAAATAAAATTAAATGAGTGTGTCAGAGTTAGAACAGAGATTTGATCCGGATCCAGGAATAGCGTGAACAACGACGAACGCATTTAAACACCATCGGAAAAAAAAACGTTAACGACGGAGAAGAGACGAAACTGACTCCATTAACAATCGGAAAACTAACCTGAGGCGTTACCGGAGAAACAGAAACGCATTCCCTACAACCTTGAGTTACTTCATCTCCGATCAATGGACGAATGTTAACCGCGACTTTCACGGAACAACTCTCCGACGACGACGACGACGGTGACGAAGAATGTGATTCCATCGAAAATTCTTCTCTTCTTAGTTCTTCCACGAGTACGAGTGTGAATAAGAGAATTCAGAAGAAGAAAAGTTGAATCAGAGTCTCAATTGCGTCTTCTTCCTCGGGAGACGGAGAAGAAAAAGTGAAGAAGAAGCTTTACTCTCTTCACTGCTCTGCTCTCTGGTTTGGGTATACGAGGTATCTTTATATTTCCATTTTTGCCCTCCACGAGACTCTAAATTTACCTTTTCTACCCTCCACGTCAGCTTCTTCTTCTTCGTGTATTGACTTTATTCTAATTTAATCCACTGGTCCGTGTGTATTGAAACAAAATCGGATTTATTATTCAGATCTGTCTACCACAATTTTATTCATATAAAAATGTTGTTGGAGAAAAAACTGTTTTTAGACGAGTTAAATTAATTGTGGTGCGTGTAAATGAGACAACTGGGTGTGTAAAAGTCGATAATTCCAAAGTTTTGGTAGTTTCTATCGTCTCTTAAGTTAATGACAAAAATTATTAAATTATGAAGAGTCAAGACATTCGTGTCTGGTCCTTCTTCTGCGCGGGAAAATCCCAACAGTAAAGTACACACACAAAAAAAAAATATAAAATATTTTCCCAACGTGTGGGGACCGCAGTACGCTCCGTTTGGGCCTTTATTGGGCCCTACCTCACATGTCTATCTGCAGGGCTCTTTACTTGGTTTGTATCAGTTTATCCATTTTGAACGTTTACAAGAAATAATAAGTATTTTCAGTGGTTTCTATTGGTTTTGAGTTTTGAGCATTGGCCGGAGAAGTCATGAAAATACGGGGAAAATAATGGTGAACTTCATTAAACAAATAAAAAAAAAAAGATAATTTTGTCGCTAAATTAATATTAACAGAGCCGGTCCATGGCTAAAATCCATAAAACAAAGACTTGATTAGCAAAAAAAAATAAAACAAAGACTATTAGGCAGAAAATAAATATATATAACTTTAGGAGTATGATTTACAAAAATATTACGGTGGTGTGGTGCAATGGTTAGTTCATAACTATTACATTTTCAAGTAACAAGTTTGACCAAATTTTTTGCCTCTTGTAACTTTTTTTCAATAGATTTTGTTAGTAGACCAAAAAAAAATTTCTGCTTTAGGCATCAAAATAGTACGGACCGGCTTTGTATATCAATATAATTAATAATTGGTAAAAAACTAAAAAAAGAGAACTGCATAATAATTTTGCACAGTATTTATAAATTAATTTTTCTATTAATCATAGAATTTTGCTTTTCGTTTTTAAATTAAGTACTATTTCTGTTGAAACCATGCTTAATCATGATAGCTTTGGAAAAAACATGGCTATCTTTTCACGTTTTATCTGCCCCTCAACTAAAGTGGCCTTTACATTCCTTTTTATAGGTGAAATAAATTAGCCAAGAATATCCACTTTTTAAAATGTGGAAGTTCCTTGAGATTGAAGAAATAAAATTTGATGTCATGGGTTGTTGTTCTTCTAATCTGGTAAAAACAATTTTGGATATATCTCTGTATTTTCAATTATTATGTATTACATCATTTGATGCTAAAAACAATTTGCACCAGAAGTCTATATAGCTTCTAATGTTGGTTTTCGTTAGATGATTTCCCAAGTTTCCTTTTTGTTTATCGAACGAAAATAAGAATGCTGATACGTCTAAAATGCATTCTCATGTATGTACCTACTTTTTATAGTATTTATGTGTTGTTAGACTAATGCATATATAATGATTCTAACGCTAGCCCACAAGTTGATTATATAGTTTTGTTTTCTATCTGTGGACGACCCTAATGATTATGACTCCATGATTATCATATATATGCTTATCAGTTATCAACTCGAAGTAGATATCTAACGTACAAATAAAGACGATGCTCTTCTAGTCGTCTAACTGCCAATTTTGCTTTCTCTTAATTTGAAATCATTTCGAGTAGTCTTCGAAAACAATCGTGAAATTTTGAAAAAGCCCAACACAAAGACCCATTTTAAACAAACAAAGATCCAAAACATTTTATCATATATACAATCAAAGGTGAAACATTAATTACCTCACATCTCAAAAATAATATCATAGAATCAAGCAAATTAACAGGTCACCATTCCAACTTTATCTATTCATATTACAGTCAAATTTGAGAATCACCAAAAACAGAGCATTTGAATCTTTTTTTGTACATAAATAAACATTAACATTTAAGGTACTATATATATAAAAGTTAAATTATTCGGTCAGGTTTCTGATTTTATCTACGTATACATCCACCATCAAAAATATAAGACTGCAACAAAACAATGCATCAGAATCTTTTCTTGTACACACGAGTAAACAAACGTTAACAAAATAAATAGTAGTATAGTACTATTATTGTTAACTACTATTGTTAACTACTATTGTTAACAAGACAAAAACACAACCATTGGTCAATACTTTTGTAATTATTATAATCATAATGGAAATGAGCCGCCCTCGTGTATACTAATCCGAACGTAACACATGTCATGGGATGGAACCCACAATCAAAAATTCAAATACTGAAACTACCCTTGATCTAATCGTTATATAGAGAAGCTTCCAAAGATGGGCAAAAGGTTTACGTGAAAAGCAGAGGGATAAAATGGACAATATGGGAGAAATACGTATCATCATTTACATAAACACGTAAAAGTCAATTAGTAACGGTATCCAGCCACCGACTACATACCGACCATGAGTCCCACTTTGACACTTTCTGGCCTCAATCTCCTTGTTTATAAATACGTACACGTGTATACGTACGCATATATGTCATGTAATACGAACTAGTAGAATTATAAAATTGTCTCTTCAAAAGCATTACCATCCTAAACCTATGGTAGGATATAATATTTTCCACGAATCGTCACTCCGTCATGCACAATTAATTATATAATTTTTACTTTGTGGAAATGGTTATAAATCGATGAACAAATTTGGTGTTATTATCTTCTTTAGAATTTTATTATATACTTTAAATATAAACATAACTTTTATTATGTCATCGTGTAAACTCACAAACAAACAAAATCAAACGCTCAATAATACGATGATTATTCCATCATCATACAAAGACATATACGTGTTATCTTTTTGACAAAAAAAATAGACAGGCGTTATCTATATATGTAACCATATAAATACTGGAAAATTGGATCCTAGTGATTTCAACGATTTAATATTCAATTATTGATCGTAAAAAAAAAAAAAGCGATTGGGATCTCCACAGACTCCACTCCACGACTTTTCTCGAGCTTACAAACGTTATTTTCTCATCCTCTATATCTTTAACCTAAATTTAGTTTTATACTATAGTTTCATGTTTTTAATAACAAACAAAATTTCAACTATAACTCGAAGTCGGCATGGACTTTTTGGAATTTTCTCCTCTACCTACAACTTCAACCTCTCTCTCTCTCTCTTTCTCTCTTCACATATATAAGAGAGTCCCTTGATCAAGAAATCAGATAATTTCCCTAAACCCACTTCTAAAGTCCTCCTCTTGGAAACCTAAGAGACTCAAGTACTCAACTCCCGAGCCGCCATGGACGCCGGAGTAGCAGTAAAAGCTGACGTGGTAGGTGCAAGAAAGAGAGAAAGACCATTCAAAGGGATAAGGATGAGGAAATGGGGAAAATGGGTGGCGGAGATTCGAGAACCCAACAAGCGTTCAAGACTTTGGCTCGGCTCTTACTCTACTCCCGAAGCGGCCGCCCGTGCATACGACACGGCGGTGTTTTACCTCAGAGGACCCACCGCTACGCTCAACTTCCCGGAGCTTCTGCCGTGTACGTCCACTGAGGACATGTCAGCGGCCACGATCAGGAAAAAGGCTACGGAGGTCGGAGCTCAGGTAGATGCGATAGGGACGACGGTGGTTCAGAACAACAAACGCCGCCGCGTTTTTAGTCAAAAGCGTGAATTTGGCGGCGGGTTATTGGAGCTTGTTGACTTGAACAAGCTACCCGACCCGGAAAATCTCGATGATGATTTGGTGGGAAAATAGACTGAAAATAATAATAAATATCTTACAATTACATTACAATGGTGGCTGTTGATATCGTACGCGGTATGCTGGGGCTTGTGTTATGACTTATGAGTTACGTGGTTATGGGAAGATTCCTCTGTTTCGTCATTGAATTAAAATTTAATCTCACAAGTCAAAACACTGTACATTATTCTTAATTTAGTAACTAATTATGATTTTCTTGTTAATATATATCTATCAATTGTTTGGTGAACACCAGAATATTATCTAGTATTTCGATCATAATCACATCAAGCTAGTTAAATTTTATTTTCCTTTTTGGGCAAAAAAAAGCTAGTTAAAAGCTTAATATCTTATTACGAAGGCTTAAGTTAATTGTCATGATGGTCAATCCTCAATTCCTCATATAAATGTAACGGAAGAGGTTCGGATCCCTATTACCTAGTGAAGTGGATCAAATGTGACTTAAAACCACTGGGCTAGTAGTAGTAGTAGACAAACTACACTTAACAATCTTATCATCATAAATACATATTTATGAATAAGAGTATAGTTTTAGTTCTCGTTTTTTCTTACCTAAATCTCTTTTACTTCTCTAGTTTCTCTCCATCGAACATGGCCTCAGTGCAATTTCTCGCTCAATTCATTTGATTCTTCGATTATCATTCTTCTCTCTGGTTTCATCTTCAATTTCATGAGTTGTTTGGTTAGTCCTAATTCCTCGATTCAACTTGTTTGTCGCCAAGTGATTTGGTGTTTCGTGACTGTTTTCCGTTAGTCTAGGTGGATGGAATTTTTAATAGAAATTATCTAAACTACCGCTTAACATTTGTTTTTTCTTAGTTTGAATAATCTTGATCTAATATTTATAGGAGTTTAAGAAAGGCTGAATGGTAGATTCGCAATAAGATCTCCTCACTTCAGCTCACAGCCCCGTAAAAGTATGCAGACGGCTTTCAGATTTGGTTCGAATCACAAGCTTAACTATATCTCTTGAACGACTCTGTTTTTATATTTTTTTCTAAACACATTAGAAAGAATGATGCATTTATTGTAACAAGGTTTTTTGTGTAAATAAACTTTACATTCATTCGAAAAAAAAAAGTGTGAAGGGATTTAAAGATGTTGATTTATTTAACGACATTTCTACTATTTTTGTTTTGTAAAACAAGTTTGTTCAGGTATATCTCAGTTTCAAATAATCAAAACTAAAATTTTCAATCGGGTATGATTTTAACATTTTTAATCGAGTAGGTTAGAGTTTTTTCATTAATACTCGTAAATAAAAATGATTATGACATGATCATAAACAATTATTTTAAAAAATAACGTTTTTAAAAATATTTGGTCTGTAGAAAATTATTTCAACGAAAAAGCTTCTTACATAAAGTCATAGAAATTTTGATTGTGAAGTTTTGTACAAAAATTTTACTAAAAACAAATCATTTATAGACATTTAGATGCTAATTTTTTTATTATGAAGATATATATTATGGAATATGCCGTAAAAGTGATAGATTGACAATTAACGGACATTGGATAGGATTTGCCTTCTGCTTTTTGGAATGTGGGCACTACTATTTTAGATTGGTCGTTTTTCCTTCACAACTTCACATTAGAAACAAAAAATGGCAGGAGGAGGGGTAGTTCTAGTCTCGTCGAGCATTGTTCGACCCGTAAACAGCAGCCAATCGGGTCAAACTAAGATCCATCTTACTCCATTTGATCTAAGTCTTCTTCAATTCGATTATCCTCAAAGAGGTCTTCTCTTCTCCAAACCCGACTCAGATTTCCATCTCATCTCTCGACTAAAAGACTCTCTCGCTCTTGCCTTAGAGATCTACTTCCCTTTCGCGGGTCGTCTCGTCAAAACAGAGAATCTTGAAGACAACACGGTGTCGTTTTTCATAGACTGTGATGACTCTGGCGCTAGATTTCTCCATTGCGAAGCTAAATCTGTCTCCGTAAGTGATTTTCTTCAGCCTGATGGTTCTGTTCCTGATTTCATGAAGCACTTCTTTCCCGCCGATGATTTCAAGAGCTGTGATGGTGTATCGGTGCCCTTGCTTGTTATACAAGTCACCGAGATGAAGGACGGAGTTTTCATCAGTTTTTGTTACAACCACATGGTGGCAGACGGTGTTTCGATGTGGAGTTTCTTCCACACTTGGTCCAAGATTTGCTCAAGTGGTTCAGGTTTTAACCACAAGCCTCTTGTTCTCAAAGGATGGTTCCTCGAGGGGATCGATTACCCGATCCATATTCCGGTTTCAGAGACAGAGAGGTCACCACCAAGCCGTGAACTTTCTTCCGTGCCCATTACGAAAGAATGGATTTTTCACTTCTCAAAGAAGAATATTTTAGATCTCAAAGCTAAAGCCAACAGCGAGGTTGCCTCCAGTAGTGACATGGAAGTTTCATCTCTTCAAGCGATTTCGGCACATATGTGGAGATCAATCATCAGGCACAGTGGTGTGAGCCGAGAACGAGAGACACATTGCAAAATAGTGGTGGACTTAAGGCAGAGGGTAAATCCTCCACTTGAGAAAGATTGTTTTGGGAATATGGTCTATCTTACATCAGCCATAACAACCGCGGAAGAGCTGCTGGATCGCGGCTTGGGTGAGGCGGCTTTGCAATTAAGAAAATTAGTGAGCTCGCAAACGAATGAAACTTGTAAAAGGTTTGCAGAGGATTGGGTTAGAAATGTTAAGAACCTAAAATCAGGCATTGGTAGTAAAGTAGGTGATACTATAGTTGTCGCAAGCTCTCCACGGTTCGAAGTGTACAACAAAGATTTCGGTTGGGGCAAACCTATTGCAATTCGAGCTGGACCGTCCAATAGTATCAGTGGCAAACTTTCAGTTTTTCAGGGAATCAATGAAGGAAGTATTGATATTCAAGCAACCCTATGGGGTGATGTAATAGTGAAACTACTAGCCGATGTGGAATTTTTAGAGCATGTAACTATTGCATGATTAATGATTCAGTTGGAAAATAAAACCGATAACAGGGACATAGTCTTTGGTTTCTAGTGTCTATCTCTTTGCTTTTTGAAATGTATTCTATCGATCTCCAAGACTCCAAGCACAAACAACATCAACACAGTGTATAAAGCAGAAACATATACGCAAGCTTTTGGAGAGACACATCTTTGAGATCAGCGACCAAAAGAAAACACCTCATTCACTCGTTGGGCTCTTCAAATCAGAAACCTAACTGGCCCATATCATGTCAAGTCAGGTCAGAGCACTTATTAGTTGCCTTTCAATAATTGACATATTTAAACACGTTTTTTATGTACAATACGCAAAAGGACAACAACAACAAAATTATTGAAGGGTACAATTATTTACAATAAATGGAATCTTGTAAGACAGAAAAATCATTAAATTATTGTGCTCAGTGATAGTGTCAAATTACATTAATATTCTATGTAAAATACGCAAAGGACAACAAAGACGACAACAACAACAACAAAATATTATTGTAGGGTTATTTAAAATAAATGGAATCTTGTAAGTTGTTGGTTGTTGGTTGTTGTTACTTGTTAGTGATTGAGCAGGTTAAGAAAACTTGACCCAACTGACAAATTTTAATCAGAAATGACAAAAAATAATATGGTCTATGTTAAATGATGGCTCAGTGATGGTGTCAAATTACATGAATATATATTCTACGTTTTCGACTTCCTTATCTTATACAATAATCTCGAACTTTGGCTTCAGATTACAGACCAAAAATGACAGACGTAACTCTCATTTCCTCGAGTATTGTTCGACCACAAATCATAAACCAACAAGGTCGTGAAAAGATCCATCTAACACCATTTGATCTTAATTTTCTATTTGTTGATTATACTCAAAGAGGTCTTCTCTTCCCCAAACCCGACCCGGAAACCCATTTCATCTCTCGATTAAAAACCTCTCTTTCTTCTGCTCTAGATATTTACTTCCCCTTCGCTGGTCGTCTTAGCAAAGTGGGAAATCATGAAGACAAAACGGTGTCGTTTTACATCGATTGCAACGGCTCCGGTGCTACATTCATCCATGCCGTAGCTGAATCAATCTCGGTAAGCGATCTTCTTCAACCTGATGGCTCTGTTCCTGATTTTTCCAGGATTTTCTATCCCATGAACGGTGTCAAAAGCATCGACGGCGTTTCGGAGCCCTTGCTTGCTTTACAAGTTACCGAGATGAGAGATGGAGTCTTCATCGGTTTTGGTTATAACCACATGGTAGCCGACGGTGCTTCAATCTGGAATTTCTTCAGGACTTGGTCAAAGATTTGCTCTAATGGTCAACCGGAGAATCTTCAGCCTCTTGCCCTCAAAGGATGGTTCGTGGACGGAATGGATTTCCCGATCCATATTCCGGTTTCAGAGACAGAGACGCCACCACCAAGCAATGAACTCTCTCCGACATTTCAAGAGAGAGTTTTCCACTTCACAAAGAAGAACATTTCAGATCTCAAAGCTAAAGTCATCAGCCAAATTGGCTCGAGTGACCATAAAGTCTCGTCCTTACAAGCGGTCTCGGCGCATATGTGGCGATCAATCATTAGACACAGTGGTCTAAACCAAGAAGAAAAGACGCGTTGCTTTGTAGCAGTGGATCTAAGGCAGAGACTAAACCCTCCGCTAGAGAAAGAGTGTTTTGGTCATGTGATCTATAACGCTATAGCTACAACCACTGTGGGGGAGTTGCAGGGTCACGGTCTCGGGTGGGCTTTTTTGCAAATAAATAATATGTTGAGATCTTTGACCAATGAAGACTATAGAATTTGGGCAGAGAATTGGGTTAGAAATATGAAGATACAAAAATCAGGTCTTGGAAGTAAAATGACTAGGGATTCTGTAATTGTGTCAAGCTCTCCTTGGTTTAAAGTGTACGATAACGATTTTGGTTGGGGTAAACCGATCGCGGTTCGAGCTGGACCGAGCAATAGTATTAGTGGCAAACTTGTGCTTTTTCGTGGGATTGAAGAAGGCTGTATTGATGTTCATGCGTTTCTATTGTCCGACGTACTTGTGAAACTTCTGGCTGACGTGGAATTTCTTGAGAATGTGGCTAATGTATGATTTGATTGGTTGAGTAATAAAAACAAACCTTTTAGTTGAGTTTTTTTTTTTTTTTTGGTTTTATTGTTGAGTTATTAAACCAAGCTTAGGTGCTACTGCTTGTAATTCTGTGTTTATTGTTTACAAAAAATAAAACTATTCTGAAATTCTATAGGCGCTTTGCATAATCTTATGGATTGTGGAAAATTTGTCTTAATTGAATTTTCCTTTACTTTCTTTTTTTTTTCCTTCCATTTTTGGTTTCCCTAATCGACAATATTTCATAGTGGGTTCAGGAAAATTAATTTATTTTCCAATTTCAATGAAAGTTTTCCTTTTCTTTTTGTTTCTTAACAAAAATAAAAAAGAAGTCTCCTTTAATTTATGTGTTATAAAAGTAAAACTTCTTATCTTTATATTTACGTTTCCATTTATTTTCAAACATTCCAATATTAAAGGCTAAAACATCTCCCTTGATATAATATTAGCTTGCTGTGATATCATTGATGTGTTACGAAATCATATAATTAAATCCAATAAGGTTTGTTTATGTAATTGTCTTTTGACTTAGCATGAATCATCTTGTTCGACGATCACAAGTCGGTAGCTTGTTGAGGATTTTTCCTTGTAGGTTTTCCATATTCCGCTTCCCCAAAACAGTATCTTTGCCGGTTGAAGAGCTCAAGAATGAGGAAGATTTGCTCCGGAAGCAGGAGATCGAAAGAAGAAAAGAAAAATTACGGAAATATATGCAGAACCGAACAAAACGTTCAGAACTAAAAAGCCTTTATGATCAGTGTGAGGTGGACGGTGAAAAGATGGAACCCGAAGGAGTACCGATTCACAAGATGTTAGCTTCTTACATATCAGAATTTGACGTAACTGGATTGGAAAAGTATTTGAACAAGTTAGAGGAGAAAAGACCAAAGGGATTTGCTTTAGCTATGCTGCGTAGGTCAGAGCCGTTACTGGTTACTAATGAGTATTACGACATCCTCGGACCAATTAGAGTCTTTGGGACTCTCAGGATACTGTATAGGCGTTTCGGAGAAAAGGAAGACCTTCGCCGTTTGTGGAACTTAGCTAGGGACATGAAAGCGGTTAAGTCCATCAATGAATATATTTGCACGATTCTGGCGTTTTGGTTGAAAGACGATATCGATGGGGCTCACGAAGTTCTTGAAGAGTGGGATACCGGAGAACATCGTTATTTCGAAGTCAAGATAAAAGATATTCTGGAATTTTCTCCGTGCAGAAAACTTGTGATACAAGGCACCGAGTTGATGGTGAATGGCATGTTCGAAGAACATAAGGAAGAGGAGGAGAAGAAGAAGACGGCAATGGAGGTGAGGCTTAACGGATGGGACCCAAAGAAAAATCTTGCTTTGTCTGCGTACGCATGTGTTCAATATGTGGAGGGTCATAGAGACATTGAGAGTACAGTTGATGTTTTGAGATTGTTGGGGAAGCGTGAGCCGCAAGATGCTATTATGGATGAAGACCGATTGAGTAGGAAATTGGTGGAGGCAATGAGAGGAGGAGGATACGTTGGTGAAGTTTGAACAAGAGTGATGATAATTATATATAGTGAAGATTCGCATTAACCAGGTCCTATAAACAAATACCAAGACGAATTTCAATTGATTAGAGATATATATATATTTTTTTAACATATATATACACTGAGTATAATAGATTTTAGCACTGTGAAGCTAAAAAGATTCACAACCAAAGACGCAAATGCATATTAAAGGCTTAAAGCCAAAGAACATTTTTATTTTACATAAAAGTGAATACAAACCTCAAACCAAACAAATCTTCTATACGAAGAATAATGCGACGATATATATATATATATTTGTTTTTATTGGCAATTATGTTTACGTTTGCAACAACTACACATGTTTGCAACAACCAGCGTTTGCGATAATTTTTAAATCAGCCTAACTTAACTCCTCCCTATAATATTATTTTAATACCATATATAAGGCTGATTGTTTTTAGTAGAAAATGTTTGTATACGAGTTTGCAAATACATGCATATGACACATACCTGTGGCTATTTTTAGGTAATAAACATACAAGCTAATTGCTGAAAAAAATTGCTATAATTCAAATTTTAAAGAATGTGTCATACGACTCATTTTATCGTTTGCATTTGATCTTTCATTTACGTATACAATTCAAATTTATAATTATGTTTGATTTTTTAAAATAAAATATTAGAGTTCGTTTAAACCAATACAAATGCTGAGTTTTAAACAATCAAACTCTTTTGCATGAATGATTTGCTAATCGGAACCATTAAATTGATCAAAGACGCGGGAGACCATCGCTATGATGACAGCCTCAAACTGTGGTTCTCCACCCGTCCAACTCAACAAACAAGCTCGTGACTACAGTTTCAAATCCCTTTCTGATTTTTCTGTAATGTTTTTTTAAAAATAATTCTCAAAACACTGAAACATTCATTGTACAAAAGGCTTTTTGGTTGAATATAATTTTACATTCAATTCAAAAATAAAAAAAATTGAAGATATTTTAAAATGATAATATTCCAGATAATGAAAAAAAAAACAATCAAACTCTTAATTTTGTAAATAAATTAAATAGTGGTCACGAGACTCACGACCAAAATAAAAATATTAAGAAACAATAGTTCCAAAGTGGTGACGAATATCATTGTGTATGCTGGCATACATGTGGTCAAGCTTTAAATATATATCATATATGGCTCCAATCATTTTGGTATTATAAAGTTTTTCAATAGATTCCATTTCGTGAGAAAACAAAATGGCAGATGTGAGTATGTGACTACAAATGGTATTTGGTGGCAAACCATCAAGTGTTTGGAATGATCCAAAATGAAAAAAAAACAAGGAAAAAAAAAAAAAAAACCTAGAATATAACAAACCTACTCGCATAAAGGTGAGTGATTTCAAACAACCCCCATTAACAATTTCAAGACGTCTTAACTAACCAGAAAACAAGTTATAACAACGTATCCTTGAAGATCTTAGATTTTGGTTGATTTCCTACCACTGTTGCTTTGGTGCTAAGTATAAAGCTTCTCCATATTAATTTAGAAAAATATACTTCGAGATTTGGATAATTTTAACGTAATATGATAGTGCAACTAATTTTAGATCTCTTAATTACAAAAGGGAGACTCGATAATTGACATCTTAATTACGCACAAATGGATTCAAATATGATATACATTAAAGTTTATACGGTTTTGTATTATATCGTACATATAGGTAATTTTTGAGCAAATTCGATTTTGGCAAAGAAAATCGAATTTGGTGACACTTACAGTTTCTATTAGTAATTAACAGCTGTCCTGTCCAAAGAAAAAAAAAATCATTGTTCGGTACATGCGAGGTCAATCTTTAAAGATATGAGTATTCTTTCGTGTGGCTATCAATAATTTATTGATATTACAAAGTTTTTCAGTTTTCTTTTCTTGACAAAAAATGGAAGATGTGACCGTGATTTCTAAGAGCATTGTTCAACCCGGAAAGATCGGTCACTCGGGTCATACAAAGATCCATCTTACTCCATCTGATCTTAGCCTTCTATATCTCGATTACCCTCAAAGAGCTCTCATCTTCCCAAAACCCGACCCGGAAACCCGTTTCATCTCTCGGTTAAAGTCCTCTCTCTCTGCTGCTCTAGAGATCTACTTCCCTTTAGCTGGTCGTCTTGTCAAAGTGAACAACCATGAAGATAATACGATATCGTTTTACATCGACTGTGACGACGGCCGTGGTGTTACTTTCGTCCATGCCATAGCTGAATCTGTCTCTGTAAGCGATATCCTTCACCCTCATGGCTCTGTTCCTGACTTTTTCAAGCTTTTCTTCCCCGTGAACGGTGTTAGAAGCATTGACGGCCTCTCGGAGCCCTTGCTTGCTGTACAAGTCACCGAGATAAAAGATGGAATCGTCTTTAGTTTCGGTTATAACCACTTGGTGGCCGATGGTTCTTCTATGTGGAAATTTATCCACGTTTGGTCACAAATTTGCATGAATGGTGAATGGGAGAATCATCATCAGCCTCTTGTCCTCAGAGGATGGTTCCTCGACAAGATCGATTTCCCGATCCGTATTCCGGTTTCGGAGATAGAGACAGAGAGGGTGAAAAATCGTGAAATTTCGACGAAAGAGAGAGTTTTTCACTTCACAAAAGAGAAAATTTTAGCTCTCAAAGCTAAAGCTAACGGCGAGATAGGCTCAAGTGACATAAAAGTATCATCCCTTCAAGCTGTTTTGGCACATCTATGGCGATCAATAGTTAGACATAGTGGTCTAAACCGAGAAGAAGAGAGTCATTGCGGTGTAGCAGCGGATTTCAGGCAGAGGCTAAATCCTCCACTTGATAAAGACTCTTTTGGCAATGTAGCCAATCTTGGGATGGCTACAGCCACCGTGGGAGATTTGGTCGATCGTGGACTGGGATGGGCTGCTTTGCAAATAAATAAAACTGTGAGGTCGCAAACGAATGAAAACTTTAGAACTTTTGTTGAGAATTGGGTTAGAAATGGTAAGATCCCAAGAATTGATGTTAGAAGTAAAAGGGGTGATCATGTTTTTATTGTTAATAACTCTCCTAGGTTCGAAGTGTATGATAATGATTTCGGTTTGGGTAAACCGATTGCTGTTCGAGCTGGACCGGCTAATGGTATTGGTGGCAAACTTGTAGTTTTTCGAGGGATCGAAGAAGGAAGTATTGATGTCCATGCGATATTGACCTTATCGCTATGGTCTGATATGCTATTAAACTTATTTGATGATGTTGAATCTATGGAGAATGTAACAATTACATGAATGTGTAGTTCACTTATTGGATGATGTAAATCTCATAGTTACGATTTTCTATTTTGTGCACTATCCTAATTAGAATAACTATGAATCTGATATTAAAACCCAATGGGCCTATATCCAATTAATAGCGACGATGCATCCAAAGTGCTGTCGTATTGAGCAGGGTTTATGGTGCAAGAGAAGTTTGTTTTTACTTGAAGCAAGCTAAGTATTCAACTATTCAAGTAAGCTGTCGTGTGGTAGCCACGATCATCTGTTAACAACATTCTCAATCGTACTCTCACGACACCAATTTTTCTCTCCTCTTTCTTTCTCTAATGATCATAAATTTTGGATTACCGAGCTATTGTTTCCTCAAAATTTCATAAAATAACAAATATAAGTCAAGGAAAACTACAATGAATTGTATTAACAAATCGATAACACATAAAGAATACAAATAAGAATCGATAAACTTGGGTCTAAAACTAGGTGTAACAAAAAAAACCTAGCCTTTGCCTTCAACTCTGTTTTCCTCTGTTTTTATACCACTCCCGTCACCGGACCGTGACCCAACTCCCGTCGACAGACCAATCAGGGCTCGAACTACTTGTCAAACTCCCAAGTCTCTCCACCGGAGAATCCAACGACGTGTGTGAATCCGATGTAGAAGATTCCCAATCATGAAACTCAAAAGGACACTTTGGAGACATCAATACTTTTTCCTCTTCCTTAAACTTCACAACGAAGTCTTCTCGGTGATCATCTTCAAGATCAATGGCTACGAACGAATGGTTTAAAAGCATCTCAGCCGTCCATCTTTTCTCAGGATCTTTAACAAAACACTTCGACAAAAAGTCTTTTCCTTCTTCCGACAACATCTCTGGAATCTTCGGTAACTCATCACCAACACCGATACGTATCAAAAGCGACATGAAGTGTGATCCTTCTTTAACACTCCACGCCGTTTTGCCACTAAACATCTCAACTACAGCACATCCTAACGCCCACACGTCAGCCGCTGATCCATACTCGTTTTCATTAACAGATTCCGGCGCCATATATAACGGCGTCCCTCTAATCTCCACACCTTTTTTTAACGGCGTTAAATCTCCGTCAACTCTCCTCGCCAACCCGAAATCGGCAATCTTAACGGCGCCGTCGTTGAATAACAGAATATTCCCGAGTTTTATATCGCAGTGAGCAAACCCTTTTGCGTGGATGTGACGTAACCCTCGAAGCACCGATCCTGTGTGGCGGCGTACGGTAGACTCCGGTAAACCCTCACCGCTAAGTTTCTTAACATGAGTCGCTAAGCTTCCTCTTGAAGCGTACTCTAACAACAAGTTATGCATCACTTCTCCGTTCTCCACCGTTAGATCCTCACCGTAACATCGTACGATCTCAGGGCAATCGCCGAGTGAATCCAACACCGATTTCTCGTTCGAAAGCGAAGCGGCGCCGTAAGAAACTGACGACTTCACGGCCATGATCGCCGGGATGTCGCCGGAGTCTCTAGTATTTGTCGCTACACTGACGGTAGAAAAAGTTCCGAATCCGATTGTTTCTCCTCGAACCCACTCCATTGAAATTGAAACAAAAAAACTCTTAAGAGAAGTTATGAAGAACAAATTATCTGAGTGAAAGATTTATGAAGAAGGGTTTCGTTTAGGGTTAAAAAAGTTTCCTTTTTTTTTTGGTTTTGGATTCACCAATTCAGAATTGGAATGAGAATTGAAGTACTTAGCAAATTGAGAGATACAGAGCATGTAGCTCGTGACTGTTAATTGTGTCTTATGGCGCAAGTTCTTCATTATATACTAAAAGTTTTATTATTTCTTTAATTTTTTTGATAAAATATTATTTATTTAATTTTGATATTTATTTCTTGAATTTTCGGGGATAGTTAATGCTTGTGATGAGATTAAGATCGAATATTTGGTATTTCCTCGTTGGGCTACTAAAAACGAGATTAAATAACAAAATATTTATTAATTGGCAAATCAATATTATCGCACGACTTTGGTTTTAGTTACTACGAGATTTTACAGAATCTTGATATCTTTTTTTCCAGCGGAATCTTGATATCTTTATTCTTTAGGTAATTACTGACATATTTTAAAAACAATTACTTCTCACGTATAGGTTGGTAGTTTGTATTAATATCGATGTATCACTATGGATATTTAAATTTGAAGAATAATGTTATTGACAAAAAAAAATTACTTTTTTCGAAATGGTGTTAATTGGAATTTGAAATCGAGAAATTGATGATCAATCTTTAACTAAAGCTTCACCTTAAATTAACCAACCAATCTACGACGATCAATATAATTATATTAGAGCATAGTTAGAACTTCTTACAAGGGCCGTTGATAATTGATAACATTTTATAAAAAAGCAAGTTGAGGTTTGTTAAAGAATTTAATTCTTGGAATCGCCAAACACAGTATTGTTAAAGACATAATTATAACTTTTTTAAATAACTTACATATATATAAAAAAAATTAACTAGCATAGAATTAGTTATGGATCAATGATCAAAAACGATGATATTACTATTGATTATGTAACGGTTTCCTCTTTTTGGTAAAATCAGTTCAAATTAATGCTTTTCCGTGTATACCGATATTCATTAAAATATAATTAACAGGACGGCCTACTATCACAGCAGCTGCAATTTGCATGTTTATTTTCAAATACTGATATTGATAGATGAAAAAATTGCTGAATACAATGAAGTTGTCACATGTGAATTGTACTATAGTTTGTATTTTATTGTTTTTTAACCAATTCCAATAGCAACTCAACAGATTTTGATGGTTCAACATATGACTTTATCCGACAACTCTTCCAATCATTATTCTTCTTGCTAATACTCCCTCCGTCCCACAAAGATGAATTTTTTAGAAAAAAAATTTGTCCCACAAAGATAGAAGTTTTGTGTTTCCAATGTCAAATTTAAAACAATTTGCCTATTTTATCCTTATTTAACAACAATAAATAATATACTCTTTAAAATGTGTTAAAGGTGAAAAGGTTAAAATTGTCATTATACATTATTTCTTAAAGAATGTGAAATTTCTAAAAAATCTATCTTTGTGGGACGGAGGGAGTATTATATTAGTCACGACTTACGATATATTTATACTTTTATCGTTATAAAATGCTTGATTTAGAAGTTTTCACAACAACAACTTGCTTGGCCGTCCAAGTTTGTAAGTCGTAAATGGGCATGATTGCATGAGAATCATAGAAAAATAATACTCTTATCATGTTTTTAAATATACTTTCACATATCCCTTTTCTTTGTGGTTCCAACATTTTTTTCGTATCCAATTATTCATATATATAATGTTAGAAAATCTTATTACAAGTACAGTTTTGTTACAATGACTTACATATGGTCCATATGGATGTTAACGACGTTTTGATAAATTAACGATTAGCACTAATTTAACCAAGAAAACAAATTACTTTTCTTGTTATATATATATTTTTTTCGACAATACTTTTCTTGTTATATATTGATGAGAAGGTTGCAAGATTGTCATGAAATAAATTGCGGCGCACCTCTACAATATAAAAAGTAGTGATTACTAAATGAATAAATGAGTGGCCAAGAACGGCAAAGAAGTGCTTCAGAGTGAAGTTTTTTTTTTTTTTTTCCATACTTCAGAGTGAAGTTTGGTTTCTTTTCTTTCTTTATTGTCGGAATCAGACGTGAAGTCTTCGATTCCAAACAGAGAAGAGTAATAACAGACTTTCGCAAGTTGCGGCTCTTAAATTTTCATAAAATCTATACGAATAATAATATTTAAAACAAATATCAGGATTATTTGCTCATTATAATAAAAAGAAGATAACAGACATTAACAGAACCTGACGATGACGAACGCACAAAACTCGAGTTTTGAAGAAAGAGAGTTCGTTATCCTTAATTCCTTAGCCGTCACTCCGTCACCGTCACATGTTCGCATGTTCTTTCCACCAATTTATTTATTTATTTGTTTCCTAGATTTTCTTGCATATTAATTAGTATTTATTCTTATACTAACAAATATCTTCCTCGATAATATGTAATAGAATTTCTTTTATCTGTATAAATGGATAAAGAAAGATCTTGCGACTTGCGGAGCTCTTTTTTTCTTTTTTTTTAGTTTTGGTACCATGAACCAATCACATACTCCGATTTTTCTTTTCTTTTTGTTCTTTCGGCTACTTTATACTTTTTTTCTAACAGCTTAGAATTATTTCTGTTGTAACAAAGAAGAATTCTATGATTCTTCTGTATCCTACACATTATAGAGTCTTCAACCGTCGCTTGCTATTAACGCATGATTATTGTTATGTCAGCTTTCACTTAACATATAGATATGAATTTGATTATGATATTCAAATGGTATCATCCTACAATTGTGTTTCGGAAATAAATACAGTCTAAAAAGGTTGGAACTCTATGGTATAAATAATTTAAAAATAAATAAGTTGAAAAGAAGGGAGATTGTCTAGCAAATGGAGTGGGACAAAGTCGTGAGCCTTACTGATAGAATATTTTAGTTTCTTGGTATGGGATATCTACTCCGATCCTACTACACAACTTGCTTGTTCTATTAAATAAGACATATATATATATCTAACAAAATAACATACATAGAGATACTAGATCATGAAAATGCGAAATTTTCAAAATAGCACCGGAAAAAAAGTTTCAATCGTTATGACGCATGTCTCTTGCTTTGGTCGCTCAGCCATCGATCGACCCTAAGTGGATTTAAGTTTTTTTCCTCTGCTATCTGAAATTTTCAATTTGTTGTCATAGATTAAAGCAAAACTCAAACTATCTCTTGTAAATGTGTTTTTGGTTGGTTGATATAAATTTTACATCAATTTGTTTTTTGTTTTCTATCTATTCCCTTAGCTATTTTTTTTTTTTAAAATCTTAAATATTCCCTTAGCTACTTAATTTGTAAGTCTATAATACATATTAGTGGAATATGTTATATAGTGTTTGTTATCAATGATTTTGGATAAATAAGACGTTTATTACTACTTTTTATGATTATAATAATTCATGAAAAGTATAAATTAAGTTAGCCGTCATATATTAGTTTTAGAGTATAAACTATACATATACATATACTCCTACTTGTCTTGTTCTGCCAAAGAATCCTAAGTAGGTATCTTTTTCGTTTGTTAGAATAGAAATAGATTTTACTATAATTTGCGTTTAAGGAGAACTTATTTGAATATTTAATTAAGATACGTTAATAAGTAATAGCACCCGGCCGTTGGCTGTGAAGAAACGGTTAAATCAAATGCTCATATAAGCTTTGACATAATTGATTGTTGCTAAAGAAAGAAAAGAGAATTCAACAAATTGATTCAACTTGACGTAAGTGGAATCGATTTTTTCAAAGCATACATGGGGTCCCTGTCCCTCTAAAGATAAGCCCTCTAAAGATAAGCATAATTCAAGATTGTCGAATATTCCTTGGAATACGAATTGTGACTTCTAATCTTTAAACGTGTTATGTTAGTGCTAAAACACTGCATACATGATACATGGCGTCCCCAAATTAGACAAAGACTAATGGTCAATTTCACTACACGGATCAAATAGGGTTTGGATTTGGAAACAATGCATGCATCCACTTCATTGACTGAGCTGATAAATTCAGAATTAGGTCGTCTTAAGCCAAACCCAAAATGGGCGGCCGAAACCAAGTGCATGAACATCAATTTAAACATGTTTTTCTTTTTATTGTTAAATTTGAGTCAAAGGCTACTTCTAAATTAGAACATTTTTTTTGGAAGTTCCCAACAAAAAGGAAGCCGTCACTAGACTATTCAGTATTCACGACAAGATGATTTTCTTTCATTGATTGAATGGGTTAGGCTAGTTTCTGAAATTATCAATCAAACGAATAGCTAAAATCATAAAAATTAATGTATGGGTTTGGACTATTCACTATTCAGGGTTGTCATCTCATAATGGGCTTTAATAAAAGGTAAATAGTTACAGACCCATTTATTGTGGCGGTAAAGGGCTTATCTCTATGAAATGGGTCTTTATTTTTGGGCTTTATCTTGTGACACAATCATATATAGCCTTGGTTTGTGATATATATTATTTTTTTTTAAGTTGGGATGTCAGCTGGGTTTCTCCATCTTCTGTAATGAATGTAGTTGATTCAAGTTCCGAGAAATTTATATAGAAGCATGAAAAAAATTATTATTCAGGGATGAAACTGTTTGATATACATTTATTCGGAAGATAAAAAGATATTTTATACAGCAAAATAATAGTAATACAATATGCCTTTCTAGTTTGTTAACTAAAAGAAGAATAATTTATAAAATCAAGAAGAGAACTAGGTAACATATAATTACATAACTCACCAATATTAAAAAGAAGAAAAAAGGCTCACCAATAACAAAATCACCATATATGGTTATTTATTTTTTATTTTTTTTTAAAACCATTTTCGTTTTGTTTCATAAAAGTCTCGTTTGAGAAGAGATAGAATTTTGTATTAGTAGATTAGTTATTACATTAAATATTTTTTGCAGAATCTTACACTTTTGCAATTACATAACTAGTATGAAATGAACTAGTTATATGTTACCTAGTAGAAGAGAACTAGGTAACATATAATTACATAACTCACCAATATTTTTTGCAAAATATAACAAGAAATTTTTTGGTGTTGTTGGATTTTTTAACACTTTATAAAACATAAAAATATTATCATATTTTTATGTTTTATAAAGTGTTAAAAAATCCAACAACACCAAAAATTTTCTTGTTATATTTTGTTCACAAAACTTCGTGTTATCTATTCGCTCACAAAATCATACACCTATATGCATCAAGAACGTTCTACAACAAGTATGAAATGACATAAAGTACACGCTTCGACACTTGTTTACATTAGAAACAAGGCAAAAAAACAATATTCAACTCACAGAACCTAACTAGATTTCTGAAAGATAAAACATGTCGCATTGATCAGTTACAAGGGATTATTCATTTAGTAATGATAAATTGATAATCAAGTACTATTACTAAATTTATTCTTTACAACCAAGTTGTCTGACTTTTTAAAATTGTTAATTAACCATCCCAAACATTATCGAAACCCGGAAAGATAAAAACATTTTAAAATACTCTCAAGAGTTTCATGACACTAAATTCAACTCCCTCGATAATATTTGTTTCCGGCATATTAATAAATATATGATATATATTTAAAAGTCATCATCTAAGAATCTGTGCATTTCCAAGCATCTGGTGATGATCAGACCGCATAGTCCCACACCCTTTTCCTCCATATCCCCCACCAACAGTAGCCGCAAGTGCTCCTCCGGCCACCGCCGTCATTCCTCCGCCGTTAACCACCGCATGTTCCTCCAGCGACTGCACTTGCTTCTTGAGAAACTTAACGTAATGGATAGCCTCATCGAGCATTGACGCCGTATCCATCTTAGTCCCACCGGGGACAAGCCGCTGAAGAATCCGAATCCGCTCGCTTATCCTCTCCCTTCGATGCCGAGCCGCAACGCTCTGTGGATCCTTAGAGATTCGCACGTTCTTTCTCTTCGGTGGCTTCACGGATTTCGGATCAATATGTATAGGCTGCATCACGGCTATTCGAAAGATCATCTCTCTCATCGCCGCCATGTTGGCGTTGTCGCTGCAGCCTCCTCTCTTATCCGGGAGAGATGATGACGTGGAGGGAGCGTACCGGAAACTTAAACCGGGTTGGTGGTGAGGGATGGTTTGGTCAAATGGGAGATGAGTATGAGTGGGGTTGAAGAAGAACGGGTGGGTGTTGGATTCTGAGAGCATCATAATGTTATGGGAATTAGGGTTAGGGTTTGAGTTAGAGAAGTGTTCAGGAAGCTTCTCCATTTGCTGCATCATCATGTTCATTAGAATGTCGGAGTTATCCATCCTCCTTTTTGTGGAATTTATAGGGTTTGTTACTTCTTTGAGAGATATGGAGAAGCTGGTGAGATAAGGTAAGATGGACTGACAAAGCTTGAAATTTAGGGCTTTGTGTGTCTGAATCACAGAAGAGAGATGATGGTGGAAGACAGAGGGAGAGTTATGTGCGAAATGTAAACTGTTACTAGTTACTACCAATCAGAGATTCAGCAATATAACAGGAAGTGATGGATTTATATAGCACTTTGTGACCCATTCTTATTTTTTTTAACTTTTTATTACATATAAGATATATACATATAATATTTAACAATTAGGATTGTTTTCCTTCTTCTATTTTCCACACTCCTAAACTTTTTAACACACACATAATATGTATGTAGTATACTGTATACATATATTAATGTACAATAGCTAGCAGTTGAATTTTCCTTGCTTTGACATGGATGTTCCAACCTTCCATACGCATATTGGACAGTTATATTTATGTTGCGCATGGCATTTTTTGTTTAACAATAAATAGAATTATACTATTTATTTTAGGACAAAACATATAAATTAATTTACGATAAAATATCAATACTAGTTTTTCATAAAATCAGTTGGTGTACTTTAAACTTATATAGACTTTTGCTGGAATCATTGCAACTCGCAAGAGATCGAAATCACTAATCACTTGGTGCCACTAACTGATGAATGGAAAATGCGTTCATTTAGTAAGAGTCATATTGACCGTCGATTCATGAAGATATTATCCTTTGTCTGGATCGACCGTACACGTGTCAGAAACTCACGATCGGTGGGATTTTGGACCCACAAGTCGTGAACCAAGGCGATTCTGGACAAATCAAGGTGCATGAACCGCTCTCTCACCATTTGAGGCAGCAACCATGAATTTTCCTATTTCTACAAATTTAATTTGTTTTCTAAATATAGAAATTTATTTTATATATACATTCGAATGCTAACTATACTGGGAAAGAGAGTAGTTGTGTAGATTTTTTTTTTTGTATCTAAATTTTATACTATTGTTTTTTTTTTTTGTTTATAATTGTTAATTACCCCACATCCACATGAAATATGTCAGAATCTAGGGAACCCATCTGTTTCGCCGGGATCTGTTCAGGCGACGGCGAAACATTACCTTGATTTCAAGTTTTCTTATTTTATCTTTTAATCTAGATCCAATATGTTATGCATGAGAATATTTATGAAATGCATTGTCTTTGGTTAGTAACTAAGGTTGATGTTAAAAAAAAAAAAAAAAAAACTAAGGTTGATGTTATAACTTCTTTGAACATGGTTGAAGAAAACGTACTAAGTTAATTTTTGCATGATTTTTTTTTTTGTTTAAATGAGTAATAGTGAATTACTCGAGTTTCACCAATACAAACCATCATGTTACAAATTCCGATCTAACGTATTTAGTTTATATGAATTTTTTTGTAATGTATACAGAATACTCATTATATAGGAGTCTATATTATGGAGGAATATTATCTATATATAATGGACTAATATAATCGAATCTCACTTGGCGTCGAGCGTTGGTAAATGGCACGCTTATCAAAGCCGATCGGAAAGGACTTATTGCGATCTTCATTAAATTATTTTTCCTTTTTTTTAAGAACTTTACGTGAACATAGAGTACTGTTTATGGACGAATAAAGAACAAAAGAAAGAAAAATTGATAACATTAGTTAACTAGGAATTGCACATCAACAACCAAATTAATAAATGACTCTTTCCTTAAAAATGCAAGTCTAAAAGACATCAAAAACCTCACAATCTTCAATCAAGATTAATGCTTGGCTTCTTTTGTGCAAAATCATCGGGTTTTTTCTTTTCGTAGAAATCATCTCTTTTGACGTCACATTTTATACATCAAACAATTACTTTTGTTTACTTGTTGATTAAATTTATGAAGAGTGCTTCTTCTTCCCTATAATTAGCCCAAAATAGACAGACACAGTAAGTTGCTTTGGACTTGGTTTTACCCTCTTATGTTGACACTGAAACATGTAAGAAAACCAACGAAATGATGACGTTTCGCTGCACTGACTTTTTCAATCAGCTTCGAAAGTAACAAAAATAGATGCTATTTTCCCCTTTTTCACCTTTTTACTTCCACAAAGTCACTGTAAGAATTAAACACTCCTCCTCCTTCCCACCGAATCTAAATTTCTTAACCAAGATTCGAAGTCTTGTTCGTACTTTTTATTTTGTCTCGAGAACTTTCTTTTTCGAATTTTTTCTTTAATTATTGAACTGTTTTATCAAAAGTGCCCATGTCATTCATTACGTTATTGATTGAACAAAATACCGTTAAAATCGAGAGCAAATTTGAAAATGTACTAATAAAGAATAAGAATTCAGAATGTAAAACATTAGCTAAGATTGTTTACTGAAAATTGCGATGCAACTCTAAAACGCCAATAACGATTTGTTTAGTTGGAAGAATCTTTGAAGTATTTGACATATCTTGATCAGATAGTAGTCTCATCAATTCACCAAATAAAAAAAATGCAAAGATCCTATCTGATGCAATTTTATATGAAACCCACCAAAAACAAACTTATAAATTAAATAGACTTCCATAAAATCTAGAGTTTAGTAGTATATTGAAAATTAATTACTACTGACTTTTTTTCGTCGGATGTATTTATTATATAAAAAGAAAAGTTGTCATCGTATTATTTGCTTGAGGATGGGCACTGTAATAAAATAACAAACACTGGGATACTGGAAACAAATAGCAAAAAATTCTAAAAGGAATTATATTTTAATAATTGAATAACAAAATTGGGGTAGGTTGCCTCCCAAGGCAAGGTAGTGATACAGCTGTGTTCATGTCCCAAGCATCATCTATGCCCTTTGCTCCATATTAACACCACACTTTATATCCTCAAATGATTAATCACGTTTTCCGACATAATTTAAAAATATTACTTAATTCAAAATATTCATAGTTGAAAAAATGAAGCAGATTTTATTGATGCTTTGGAAAAATATATCCCTGAAATATTTTTTACTCAATTATGATCATATACAATATCCTTTTTTAACTCAATTATGATCATATACAATATCCTTAATATTAGGTTTTATAGATAACATTCTTATGTTTGACAAAAAAAAAAAGATAACATTCTTATAATTTCTTGAACAAGTGCTCTGTATTCTTCTGACACATTTTTATCTTCTTTTTATTTTCTTTAGTTATTATATTGTTCATATATGAAAAAATAAGATAAATATGAATTCATTTACTTTCTTTATTGCTTTTTTTTCAATTATGTATCTCCAATCTCTCTTTTTATTCGGATAAATTCTCATGTTCTCTGTGACAGGATAAAGTTCATGCACCCCTCTTTAATTATTGCAATATTGTAATATATTAATATATAGTATTTCACCATTTGGGAATTTTCTTACGGAAGTGGCATTTTCTTCAAATTGCTAGCCAAACTTCTGAAACAATACTCACCAGATTTAGCAATAGATTCAATACATAAGTTCATACAAAATGAGGACCAAACTAAATTGTAATCAAGAACAAACTAAAAAGAAAAACAAAGAAAGAAGGAAAGCGCATATAATATGCATGGAGAGGCAAACAAAAGTCAAAACCTAGAAGATAGAAGCCTATGGAATTGGGAGAAAACTAATTATAACAATTTTAATGTATGGAAGAATTAATTAAGTAAAAAAAAATGGATTGTGATAAAGAATTTTTTTTCTAAATAAAGAATAAAAACATTTTTTACCAAATAAGGAAATATAAGAAAGAAAGAAAGCTCATATAATATGCATGGATATTGGAGAGGCAAACAAAAGTCAAAAGTGAATCAAAACCTAGAATATAAGTGCCTCAAGAAATGAAAATTATAACATGTGGAAGAATTAAGACAAACAAATGGGAAATTTAAAAAATTAAATTTTCCAAATAAGGATATATTATGGAATGAAGAAGATTAGATCTTTCTTTTTTTTTTTTTTTTTTCTTTTTTTGTAAAGAAGAAGATTAGATCTTAGATCCGTTTAATTGGATCTCCTCTCTTTTATCTGTTTGTTTCTTGTTTTTTAGTAGATTTTTTGGTGTTTGGTACATTCTTTGACTCTTGTTTTTAAATACCCATCCATGTCCATTGTGCTATATTAAATGTACTCAATTTACATATTTTCCGGTGCATCACAAGACATATGTAAAATGTATAATGTAAGATAAATATATTTGTTTCCATTATTGAGTATGTTATATATATATATATATATATATATATATATATATATATTATTTATCTGAACCGACGTGCAACATCGTAACAAATCAGCTAAGTGTTAAGGAAATAAATGGGCCTGAAAACATATGGCCCATTCATAATACGGGCCTCTATACCTTTGAAGTTCATAAGCAAATGGTTCTTCGAGTTGAAATTGCATTACTGTACATCTTTTTGAGTCCATCAGAAAACTGAAAACCTCAGTATTAGAAATCCTTGATAGGTGATGTTGAGGTGAGGAGTTTGACTTATTGATCTTCATATTTCATTAAATTAGTAATTAAAAAATTAATCACTAATTAGAGGGTCTTAAATTTTGTTTTTGGGGAGAACTTTAATCTTCAGAACCGATTGTTAACACATAATCACTCGTGTAAACAATGAGATTACAAGTTTACTACGTAAATTTTAAGGTGTAGAAGTCAATGGTCTATGCCTCTATAACAATATAGAAAGTACTTGTAAGACTTATGGATTTTGAATTCTTTTATAAAACAACCCATCATGGATCCAAATGCCCTGGTTAATTAGGTCTTGGACCAAACCTGTGGTTGCCCCACAGTCCACAGAGCAAGGTAGTAGTCAAAAGTTTGTACTTTGTAAGTATTTAATTTTTCCCCAATCTCAAAGAAGAATTGAAAATTTCTACCAATAGCTATAGATTGCGATGTGTATACCAGCCGAAAGAAAATAGAACTATACCAACTATCTTTTATCTTTTTCCAACTTGGTTAGAGAATCTATGAAAACTGTCAGTTGAAGACTACTAATTTAAAAGTAATATATCCTCAATTAAATTTATAAATAAGGTTAAAAGTCAAACCCCCAACTAATAAATAGTTCACACTTAACAAACGCACACGTAACCTATTAAGCGGACCGAACCAACTTCTTTTGATACACGGACTCTCACCTAGGCCTGGGCATTCGGATTTCGGATCGGATTCGGTTCGGATTTATTCGGATTCAGATAATTCGGGTAGGAGATTTTATTATCCGTTCGGATTTTATGACTATTCGGATCGGGTTCGGTTCGGATAGTGTCGGATTCAGATCGGTTTCGGATTAATTTTGGATCGGTTTGCGAGGAAAAAAAACTAAAAAAATGTTCAATTTTAAGTAAAAAATAGTTTTAATCTTACTAAAATTTGGCTAAGTTTTCCAAAAATATGTATAATTTTAACAAATATAACTAAAAACTTTCCGATATCTAGGTTATCTAGGATATTTTTGTTATTTGTTATAAAACTATAGCTAAATATAACTAATATTTTTGGATATATAATTTTATTTTCGGTTTTCGGATATCCTTTCGGTTTTCGGTTCGGATCGGGTTTGGTTCGGATAATTCGGATAGGAGAATTCATTATCCGTTCGGGTTTTGTGACTATTCGGTTCGGATTCGGAGCCGGATTTTTCGGATCGGTTTTCGGATTTCGGATTTTATGCCCAGGCCTACTCACCGCTCATCTGCTCCACGGTCCACCGCATGCACATACCATCTGTCCAATCGACGGTCCAGATATGATATTACTTGTCATGTTAAAATTAAGAGACGGATGGGGAGGAACGTGATGGATGGTGGGATTTGCACGTGATCGCAGGAGCAACGGTCTGATCAGATGGTTTCTTTTAGTGGTGGTAGTGACCGTTTTGAAGAAATTATTGTGGACCGACATTATAATTTTTAAGAGTATGATACTATAGTATATATAACCTCTCATAATCGTTGTCACCCAAAATAAAAAATCTCTCTTATCTAGCTCTTGTGTAGCTCTTGATTAAAATTGTTGTTATTATATTGCTCTTAGTATGTAAATATATCACAATTACAGTTAACGTTAATGCATTTCGGTTCGATAATATTGCATTTTGGGATGTCAGCTTCGTATGTATAAGTCTTGTTTTAATTTAGTTTTGAATTTGGTTTAGGGTTTTCAAATGAAAAATTAATTATTTTTACCAATTATGCAAACTAGATTCAGTTACTGGTTTAGATGAAGATTAGATCATAATAGTTACTGGATTGAAGTACTACTATTCATGACATATAAGGTCCGACTGGTAACCAAACGCTGTTAGCTGGAGTTGTTAGTTTTTCCGGAATAGTGTAAAACTATACGAAAGAGTTGTACGAGAAAGTTGTACAAAAAAACTGAGAATAAAATTTTTAGTAACGTTTTTGGTAAAGCTTTTGTGATTGGTAACTGTCAAAACTGTATACTTTGTAACGCTTTGTAAAGTGGTTACTAATCAATGCCATACTATGCGTATTTTGAATGGAAAATATATGTTTTTTTAATCCTCTTCACGGAAATGTTTGAAATAATAGTACCAGAAATGTTAGGAATATTATATTATTTGGATGTAATGATTGCAACAACAGTCCTTTTACTGGTAAAGGTTGGTTATGATCACTGATCACAACGAAAGCAAACATTTTATTTTCGAGTGTACCTAGCTGTAGACTGTCTGATACATCTCATCTAACCTCATAATTTTCTGGATTATTAAGTGTTTGGTATATAGCTAGTACACATCTTTAAATTTGGCTGAATTTCTTAATAATTTTTCCAATAATTGTCCAAATTAATTCCAAAACATTAATTTGTTTACTTGTTCTTTGTTTAAACATAACATTTGTTGAAAACATGTTAAACCATATGCAACAACTAACAAACAAAATAGCGATTTTCTTTTTTTCATTTTCTCTTTTCTTTTTATCAATTGAAAATCACAGAAATACCATGCACTCAATAATTCTTAAACATGATTAAACTAACAAGACTTTAGAACGTGAGCTCTTGAGCCGGGGACTTCACTGATAAAAAGTTAACATCTCCAACTTTATTTTTCGATATTTTTATCTACAAATTCTTTTATTTAAAACGTCCGGTACCAATGTACCAAAAATCGTCTGTGGGATTCTTAAAAACGTGGAGACTTTCTATAAGTCGTAACGACTAGACCACAATTGATCACATATTTACGTATTCTATTGAATATTGTTATCATCCCTCTATTGAATATTGTTAATTGTTATAACATGTCTTTTTTTTTGTTCACAATTTATCACATATGTCTAAGTTTCTCTTTTTCTGCAAATATTCAATTCCTTAACATTATTTCTCATCACCAATTTTTCTCTTATTAGGAGGGAAAAAAAAAACCGAATACTTTGTTTATACCGTGGTTTAAACTTTAAAGTAATCATCTATACTAGTATAATCGCAGCACTTTTTGTGACGGGTGGGTAAAAAAGCTTTCGGGTATATCGGATATCCGACCCATTTTAAAAATTCCTTCACAAAAAATTTGTTGGGTCGGGTTATATTTAACCCAACTCATACACCGGATATTCCATATTTAATAATTTAGATTTTTAGAAGATTTGATTAAGATTTATAATTATGATTTTCCTATCATCTTTGTTTGATTTGTTTTTAACTGTTTTGAATCATCATATAATACATAAAGTAAAAAAAAAAATCAATTTTTTTTCTGCATATACTGTGATTCGAAATTTTAAAAACGGACATATATTATCCAATTGACGAAAATGTGTGTTCAACGTTCTACATCGATTAAAATATTTAGACAATGATTCAGAATCATATCATAAATAAGAACATTAATAAAATAAATGAGTTTTTTGGCGGGATGGGTTTGGCGGGACGGGTTTTTGAATCAACAATAATAAAAAGATTAAAATATCATTAATCCGCCGCTTCAATATGGATTAAATCCTTATTTTTTTTAATACAAATCACATGACGGGTTAAGAAATTACGGAACGGGTTATATTTCGGAAATGATTTATATGGCGGACGAATTTGAATCAATATTTATATACCGCTTTAATACGAGTTAAATCCTCAGTTTATTAATAATTATCTCGTGGACTCGTGGTATACCGTTACTTAATAACAATTGTAAACTATAATATAAATAAATATGTTATAAGGAGATACAATTTACAAAATATTTTTATACTAACTTTAAAATTAAATCATCCCGCGGTGTACCGCGGGTTAAAATCTAGTTTGATAGTATATTAAAAAGGGTTATGTGCAAAAACGAAGTAGCTAATTTTTGCAAGAAAACCCTCCATCTCAAATAAATGCAAGTCAATACCGCCATCTCAAAAGTCACCCGCAATATAGCCCTCGCGTGTATCGATGATGTGGCAGCCGTTAACTCCGTCAGTGGGTTTTGTGCAAAAAAAACCCTTCATTAAACCAATTTTTGCAAAAAAAAACCTTTCGGGTATTTTAAAATTCGGGTACGGGTTCGGGTTTACCTATAATACCCAAAAATAAAAATTGTTGTATGTAAATCTATCCACCCTATTGTTCGTACCGAAGTTGCAATAATAAATAAGTACGAGTTTTTGGGAGCGAACGGAGATATTTCTCTTATTAACGATAATCGTGCTTCTGTGATTACAGAGATGGAATTCGAGTGAACGAGAATACGAAATATACGCAAGAGTTAGCATGTTTTTCGAGGCTCTGAGTCTTACAGAAGTTGATTTCGTGGCTTGCACGTTTTTCGAGGCTCTGAGCCTTACAAAATATTTTGTCTCTTTTGCGACGAATTTGGGCTTTTACAGAAGATTTTCTGGTTTTACAGAAAACTTATGTAAATTTACATAATTTTTCTGTTAAACCCTAGATTTTTCCTTCTCCTATAAATGGATCCACCATGTCTTACTTTGATCATGCCAATGATCATAAATTTAAGAAGATATCAAAATCGATTATTACCATATTGTTTCCTTTGCTTCCCTGTACAATCGAATTTTCCAACAGTCGCTTTTTCAAAACAAACCTTGGCTACTTTGAGGGTTTTTTTTGCACAAAATTTGGCTACTTTGAGGGTTTTCTTGCAAAACTTGACTACTTTGAGGGTTTTTTTGCACAAAAGTTCACTCGTCGTGACGTTTTGGAACGGAGTTAACGGCTGCCACGTCATCGATACACGCGAGGGCTATATTGCGGGTGACTTTTGAGATGGTGGTATTGACTTGCATTTATTTGAGATGGAGGGTTTTCTTGCAAAAATTGGCTACTTCGAGAGTTTTTTTGCACAAAACCCTATTAAAAAAAAGTAATCATTTCATAGTGTTTTTTACGTCGTTCGATACTCGGTACAAACTACTACAAAGGTAATAAAAGACAGCGTTGCGTTAAGAAAACGACGTCGGCTTGGCATCGTTCGCGGGACCCCAAAACGTTATTCTGCGTTTTGTTTGGGAAAAGTCATCACACGTGCGTTGGTGCTTCTTTTTGAAGATTTTAGAGATATTCCACAAACGAACCTTTTCCCAAAAGTAAATAATCTAAAAACTCCCCGAGAAATAAAATTGATCAAATTAACCCAACCCACCCAAATTACAATATACAAATTTGGATTTATTTATTACTATTCAGTGTACTTTTTTTAGTCACAGCACAACGCTCTCCCCATTTTTAAAATTTCTAGTTTCTAATAACAAATGCATGATTACACATATTTAGACTTTTTTGAAAACGTTAAAATCTAATGGTGTGTTTTTATAATAAATGTATTCTTTGAGGGGTAATTAGAAGTGAAAAGAATCTCAATCGGGGAATAATCATGACCGAGAAACAGACTCAGCAAGTTTCCCGATTCGTTGGACAAGTTCAGGAGATAGCTTCTTCACCGGTTTCTTCTCCTTCTCCGGTCGAAAATCAAAACCAAGTGCATCCGATACTTCCTCGGAGCTCCATCCAGCTTTTCGGAGCGACTCCGAGAACCGACCCGCTTTCAAAAGCAATGCATCTAAAACCGCTTGATTATCTAAAATTACCATTTCACCCTCAAAGAAACCAGATGCTGACACGTGGACTATATCATCAACGTCGGACTCGCTCCACCCGCCTCCTCTTAAAACCGACCCGATCCGGTTCACATAATCATCGACCCATTTCGGTGTCTCGGATCTTGGTAATTCTAGATATCTCTCCGGCGATGAAGAGTGTGACGACGACATAGAAGAAGCAGAGTTTCTCCTCCGACGATCCACCGCCGCGTCACTCCAAAACTCAACCCATCTCGGTGTACTTGACCCGTGAACCCGACCCGAATCTAAACTCATTCTTGAAAAATTCGACGAAGAAGACGACGACCCAGCTGATTTCTCACTCACCGAACGCTGCTTCGTTAAAACAACCGGACACGTGTCAGAACCTCTAAACACAGACTCACGCTCGAAGAAATCAGATAGATCCGACCCGCAACAGAAAATCCGGGTCTCGTCAATATAAAAAACCGGGTTACCCGCTAAAGACGGGTTACAAGGAATATAGCAGTGATCAAAGATTGGTATCATCAAAGGAGCTCTTTTGAGAGCATTTCTCGCGACCCGTAAAGCTTTTTCCGGGTCGGATGGTCTTAAACCCCAAGATTTGCTCCAAAGAGTGTTTCTCGCGATCTGAAACGACACGGCGGCGATAGGAAGATCGATCATAGCCCTAAGATGAAGACGAGCTCCGGGAGAACGCCAGTCTGGAAATCCGGCGCCGACTGGTAAACCGGCGGTGAGAACTGCACGGAGGTCAGGTGGGAAAGAGAATGCGAACTCTGCTTCGGCTTTGGCGAATTCGGAGTCGGTTAGACCCGGTTGGACTTGGATCCTTGAAGTGTGTAAGTGTGAGATTACTTGTTCGGCGAGAGATGAGAAAGAGACAAGACTGTTTCTAACCGTTGGAGTCGTTGGTGCGGCGGCGCGAGCAGAGAGACGACGGAGACCCGCGGCGTGAGCTGGTCTGAGACCGGTCATTCTCCGATCAACGTCGACCATTTTTTTTTTTTGAGGGAAAGATCAAAACTTTGGAGTAAGAGATGTGGAAAAGAGTGAAGCTTTATGAGTTATGGGGTTTCAGATATGTCTGATAGCGAACTGGAAAAAGATGATAGGCGAGAGAGAGAGAGAGAGAGAAGCTTTGTTGATGAAAATATGGAGCTTTGTTTTATTTATAGCAAGTTTTATTGGTGGGTCCTACTTTTGTCTTTTTTTATATTTGGTTTTTATTTTATTGGTTTTTTATGAGATATTGAAATGGTGGTGGTGGTGAGAATCTGTAGTGACTTCATCGACTAGACTAATTTGATGATTAAAGTGTTTATATTTTTCTTATTCATTTGAGATTCTTTAATTTTGTTTTGTTAATTATCTCTAAATCAGCATCAGATACCTTTCTGATCGGTCTAGACTTTTGTTTTAGTTCTCTTTCACGGCTCTGATTTTCTTGGAAATTCGTAGGACCCATGCGTAAATTTTGGATGCTAGTAACAAAATCAGATTATCACCTTAATCAAACATTAGAGAGAGTCAAAAAAAAAAAAAAAAAAAAAAAAAAAAAAAAAAACATTAGAGAGAGTCTGTTCATAAATTTTCCTCTTATATTGAATAAATATCATCTTGTTTTGACTCTCAAAATAAGAGAGTTAATGTTGTTATTGTTAGTAACAGAATTTTAGTACCATAATCCTTTTACCAAAAAAAAAGAACTGTAGTAGCAAAAATGTTATTAATGTAAATATTTTATAGGAAGTCTGATTTTTCAAAAATTTTAAATTGAAACCAGAGGAATTTAGATCAATTCATCAACCTTTTTTTGGATAATTAGAGTTCTTCTATTGTAGTGGCTGAACTCTTAAAATTTAATCCGGTTTTGGTAATTATAGTCTACTAATCCGGTTTATAGTCGACTTCGTCGGATTAGAGGTTTGTTCCGGATTAAGAAGCATTGTAGATAATAAACAGTTGACACAAGTGATTAGACATAAGCCAATATCATACCAACTCCGCCACGCTGCATCAAATCATGCTCCTCATTTGATTAGAGACAAAATAAATATTAACCACTGTTTGATTTTGATTTGGAATGATCCATTTAATCATAATTTTTGCAGTGGAATTACAATTACAAAACTAGCATATATGTGTATATTATTTCTTTCTAAAATCATTTTTTGAAAGTTCTAAGAAAAAGGAAATAATAAAACAGTACACATGCAGCTTACGCGTGAAATGTAGTTGTAAAGTTGAAAATTCCACCGCTTTTATGTTAAAACATTTTTACTTATCTATCTATATAGTTGTGATTAAATTTAATGCGAGAGTGAATCTATGACCGTTGAAGCATAATCTCTTTGGGGGTAAGCAATAAAAACGATCACGCGACTCTATGCCACACTACTCGGGAATCTCACATGTCAATACCAATATCGCATGGTTTCTTTCTTTATAGAAAAATGTTTCGAGTGTTAAATCGAAAAAGCACCATTTTTAAATACTATAGTTTGATTCGATTACATTTTTAATGCGTAAACAATTTAATATTACATCTATATGAACATCCTAGTTTGTGTATTCATTTGCTAATGTCGTCGAAACTACCTATTATTAAAAGCTTTAATTTCAAACTAAACGGTCATTATGTCAGCTTAACCACATGGCATCGATCGGATTAATTTTAATCACATGTTAGGTATTGATTGTTATTTTTTTCATTATTTTTAAAAAATACTTTTTCAATCCTAATTAACGATATTTTTAGTATCCGATTTTACGCATAGATTAGTCAAATTTCCATGAATCATTTGTCAATATAATATGCTAGTGGGTCAACGGCATAGGCTATGTATATCGTACGTGAATCGGGCGTAATTACTGGAGTATCAAAGGGAGTTTATTATGCTTTTTAAGAGATTAACTTGTAAATTACAGTTATTTTGATGTTCACACTCACGAATCAAATAATACGAAATATATTTGACATAATTAAGCTACTTCCAGCCCGTTTCAAGAAACAAACTGTAATATTACGCTAATTGTTGGTAGTTTAATTTGAACAAATAATATAGCATTCACACCATCACACTTGTTTTTAATAATTAACAGTACAGTATCTACAAAAATATCATATTTAATCCCTAAGTAACAAATACGGATCCATAATCACTGGCAACGTAATGGAATGATTCTTCAATTTTGCAGGTTTTTACCAATTATAAAGCAAATTCACTAATAAAACTTAACAAAAAGAAAAAAAAATCACTAATAAAATATCTACTACTATCATACAATTTTCATTTAGATTTTCTCTTATAGATTTTTTTTTGTTCTTATAGGTTTTGTTAGCAATGTTGATAAATAATCAAGCTAAACTAGCTAAGAAACTTCTATACCACTCCACTTGCTCTGTCTAGTTATAATTGTGTCCGACCCATTTCCAAAGTTTATCTATTTATATACTGCTCAACCGTTGGTGGTGTCATACCATTCACATACATGATCCAACTATACACTAGTACTAAATAAACAATTTCGCTAATAAATTGTTAATATTATGCTATTAATTTTCTGCTGAATGCCTCTGAATCAACCACATTCTTTTTTTTTTGGGACAAAATTCTTTTTGGTTTCTTATTTATATATTTAATCGCATACTATAGTGGTTTTCAGAAATATGGATTTTAACCTTAGATCTCGTAATCATTAAAAGAAATGGAGCAGAAAAGAAGCTGGATCAGATCTGTAGGTACTCATTATATTTATTAAAATTGACCAAATTTTCGTCGATACATGAACTATATAATATATACGATGTGAAAGGTTGGACTTAGGTATGTGTAAGAGTTAATGAAATGTTCTCATAAGGTGAAGAGTATTTGTTGTCTGGGTGTGAAGCTTTAGGAACATTTACAAGTTAGATGTTTAATTGTTATCTGAGTTTTGTGACATTTGTAGGGTCCATTTTGTCCCAACCACATAATCAAAATCTTTTAATGATTTTTGTAAGAGATATATGGGAAGGTGCCATTTTTTCACTACAAAAAAAATCTTCATTTATAGCACATGAGAATAGCACGGTTTACTGAACTGCTATTAAAAACAGATTTGCGATTTTCGTAACATTACGATAGCATTTTAATAACGCTAAACTGAAATTTTCACTAAGCGGGAATATTTAGAGCCAAATTTTTATTGAGGACGCCAATACTTAGGCGAAAAAAACAAAAATGAATAGATCTCTCCAAAGAAAAAAAGCTCTCTCTCACATCTAAATCCTTCATCGTCCCCGATCTTTAATGGCATCACCACCACAAGCGCATCTCTATCTCTCCTCTCTCAGATCTGAATCTTTAGTTTCCGGTCTTTAATGGCGGCACCACCACCAGATGACACTTTTGTCGACAAAGATGAACTGCTCAAAACCTAATTTGAGCAATTATATCCTCTAACGGGTTCTTTTCAGCTTGATTTCAGTTTAATTCCTCTTCTTCTCAGTTACCACAAGCCAATGTCGTTGCTAATGCTTTACTATTTTGTTTCAGCGTTCCGAAGTCAAAGCAACGGCAAATCCAGCGTTCTCGAAGCACTCGTCGCCGTGATTTTCTCCCTCATGGGATTGAAAGCGAGAAACCCAAATTTGAATGGGTATATTCATGGTGAAGATCAGACAATTAAGAACGGAGAAGAAGATTGGGTACAAAGTTTCAGAGATTGTAAAGAGGTTTTTGTGATTTGGTCGTTACTTTTCTCTTTTGCTTCTCATTTTCGTTTGATTTTGAATTGAATTAGATGTTGGGTTTGTTTTTTTATTTGTCTTCCTCTTGATCAAATCTGGTTTGAATTAAATTAGAGGAGCTTCGATTTTGACAGAACAAATGAAGTTGCGACGGTGGTGACTATAGATGCGTAAGATGGCGGAGAACAAGAAGAAGCTGAGAGGCGGGTAAGTAGATCTTCTTGATGGTCTTTTATATTCTCTGAAACTAGGATTCATAGGGACTAGAACAGTGGATTGTGTAAGTAGAACTCGTAGATCTTAACCTTAAACATATGTTGGTCATTCTCGTTTGAGGACTCAACTTCTTCAACTATCAGATTAATTGGATTTAGTCTCTTTTGGAGCATCTGATTTTTGCAGCCCAATTTATGTTCTTTGTAGAATAATTTCAAGTTAGATTTGTTCTTAATTGCTATTTGATTAGCATGATTTGTCTGTTAGTTCAATTTTGTGATATTTACTTACTTTGTTAACTCATAAGTAATTTCGAACTAGATTTTGTGCCTTGTATTTGAATAATTCAATGTGGAAATATTCATAGTATGAGTCATACTTCGTTGTATTTTTGCTCTCTTCTTATGTTTGCATGCTCACCTTCGTAAATCTAATTCCATTGATCAAGAAAGTAGAGAGAAACAAATTATGTAATTGAATTTATTTTCTAGTGTTCCATTTATTCCCATCTCTCGTTTTCTTATTGCTTACCTTTGTTGACAATCTCCCTTCTTATCATCAACGTTTATTTTTCGTAAATTATAATTCAAGAATCTGTTTCATCTTTGTTTTGTTTTTAACAAGAGTGTTAACGTTGACTGTGGGAATGAAAGACGAAACAAAAGGAAGCTCATGTAAAGACGAGACAACATGGGTCCTTCTCGGAAGAATGTGTTTCACATAGTCTCTTTGCTCTGGTAAGTATAGATCAGTTAACAAGTTAATGCTGCAAATACACTTCATCTTTCTTTAGTTTTGGTGTGTTTGTTTGATAAAATCTGAAATCTGTGTGTTTTGTGTTTGTGTCGTAGGACCGTATGGTTTGACATGTGATTTTGCCGTAATCTCTCTAACTTTGAGAGAACCTAGAATTATTTTGCCCTAAGAAGAAGTCTAGCAGCATCCTCTCTCCTCAAGCACAAGACTTTTACTATAGAGGTTAGTATGAGAAATTGCAGATTTGGTTTAAGACTGATCTCTCTTACTTTAAGAGAACCTAGACTTACCACTATGATGTTATATAGAAGTCATGATTTCTAGGCATGGCCCATGGATTTGGTTGAAAGCTTGTATTACTCAAGTAGTTCTTGTTCTTTTCTTTATCCAGATTGCATACGGTAGAAGATAGCTGACCGAAAATATCAAGCCAGCCTTATGTACTCGCCTTCAGGAGGAAATGGTGTGTCCTTTCGATAATCATGAACTGAAGACCAGATTCTGGGCAATTAGTAGCCAACTCTCTGGACGTAACTGGTAAAGGAAGACCACAAGTTTTCTACCACACTCCGAATTGGTAGTGTTATTCGTAGTGTTATTAGTATAAGAATTGGTATAATATTATGTAAGACTTCTTTTGGGCAATGTAATATTAATACTATGTATATTGATTATTTATGAAATATAACATTTTAACTAAATTTATTTAGTAAAACAGGGTTTAAATATAATAATTATATATAAAACCAATTAAAAATATAAACATGCTACAATACAATAGAAAATAGCACTAAATGTGTGCTATAATGTATTATATTAGAGCATTTTATTATCGCTATAATTGAACGACATATAATAGCATGTCAGAAAAATGCTATCGTAGGTGGGAGACCTACCATAGCTGCCGATGTCATAGCATTTGTGAATTCGCTATGAAATATATATGATAGCAGATTTTTCGCGCTAACGATGAACATATTTCTTGTAGTGTTTGCAAGTAGTTCATTGTATATTTAGGAATATGTATGTTGTGGTCGATTGATTGAAAAAAGAAAGATTTTAACTGTGCCGATTCTCAGTTTCATCCAAAATTTGTCTTTGCAGATTGATATGTATGTAGTTTACTATTTTATACTAAGATGTTTGATCGGTCCCATTTGGTCTAAAATTCTTACTCCACCATATATATAGCATGTCTATTTAGAAGACTTTTGGTATATATATACACATCAAACAAATTCTATATCTACAATTGTTTTTTTTTTTTGTCATCTACAAATTCTATATCTACAATTGTATTGGACTAGGAACAAACCAACCAATATTCTCATTTTCATCACCAATATTCGAACTTGAAAACTTCTGAACCCTTACTTTCCGAGTGGTCAATACCAACTATAAATAGTTTTTATTTCGCTATATGAAGAGAAGTTTGTAAATGTTCAATTGTTAGCTGAAGTTTTAAGAGCATTTTCATCCATTTCATATTCACATTTTTAGTGTTACTTTTTTAAATTTGTACTTTATAATCATTTACTTATGAAATATTGAAATAAAGACATGATATAAATTTATTAAAAGCCCTAGTTGACTATCCCAAATCAAGTTGAAATCAAACCTATTATTTTGCACGACAAATGATAAGGTCAAACACCTTGGACTACACGTGATGTTCCTTATATATTTGACATATATGTCGATGAAATTTATGGCAAAACCCTTGAATTTAAAGTGTCGTTACAAAAAGTCATTATCGTAGACAATTTTGGTCCGTTTGTGTGGCTTCGACTCTATCGACCGTTGTTATGTCCCCACTCAATCACAACAATCGATCAGTCAATTTGGTCCAACAGCTTTGGTTTGGTTCAATGTCTTCGTAACAAAAATGTCAAATCTCTTGTTGTCATGGGTTGGTTTTCGTAATTGGTCGTTTTACTTGTTGGGTGATGATGTTAAGAGAACGCTCACGGTTGGTGTAAAATATTCTTACCTTTCAACGTACAAAAAACATCAAAGAACCAAAAACAGTTTTTATGTAATAAATTTAATACCACTAACGAAACCAAAACCAGAATAATAACTTTACTAGCTAGTAAAAAGTAATGATCAGGTCTAGGAAATTTTTTATAATTTAAACCAAATCAAATATATCTTTATAGCAACTATAAAAGAATTTTGAATTACATGCTAATGAAAATGGGTGAACCTAAAAATAGTTATGTAAAACCATGTGCAAACATGTATAAATGTTGATAAATTATTCCCCCTGTCCCATTTTATAAAATGTTTTGGTTAACATGCATATTAAAAAAATTTCATATATAAATATTTTAATCTAAAACAATTCAACCAATCATAAAAATACTGCATAATATAAATGATTAAAATATTAATATATTTAAGTTTTGCATAGAAACCTACAAAATATGCCTAGAACATTTTATATTTTGGAACAAAGGAATATATTTTTAAGCTATAATTTTGATGATAAGTTTTTTGTTTGTTTAAATAAATGTTGATTTTTTTATCGCATTTGAAGGTGAGCCAATCGAATATAATATCAAACTACACAAATATGGCCTATATTATGTCGACGATAGACTAGTTATAAAATTTATGATATACTAATAAATTCAAAGTGGGTTAAAAGCTCCCCCATGTGCTTAATACCTTATTAGTTATTACCTTCCACAATAACCTATTTTCCGAATAATTAAGAGAACATGTAGACCATATCAAATATGCATAATGCATATAGGTATATCAAGTTGCCATTAAATTTTTTTAACCGATATTCACAATAAACACACTATTCCTGTTCTTATAAAATAGAAATACAATCTAGCACTGATAGTAGCCCAAATTCAATTATAAGTCTAGTGAGAATAGATAAAAACGCATAACATATATGTCCACTTACTAATCGATAATGAATGTAAACACTTTACTAACAAGTAACAACCGAGATAATGTATATATGACCAAAAATCAGTTATTTTTTTATGGTTGCTAAAAGTCAAAATTCATAACAACCGAGATAAACAACTCTATCAAATTTACTACGTTTCATCAGATTACTAATCGAAAGTTCGAAACCTTTAATAATAAAATAGACGATTCTAGTTAAAGTATGAGAAACATTTTTTAAGACATAAAGTATGATAAACTTTTTTCCTTAATTCGCGACCTCCTTTTCATAAACCATTTGCCTTTTGATAAATATATTATCCATAAAAATAAGCACTCGTGTGGTCGATATCTCATGTCTGTTCTTTACAAATGGATTCTTGTTAGGTTTTAGGAGGTGGCTATAAAGCCTACCATCGTCAAAGCGTGCGTGCGATGGCGAAGGATAAAGTGAGTTTCGATCATTGTTTTCTTCATTATTTTTGAATTTTGATTCGATTATTTTTTTTTTATGTTGGATTGAGGTTCACCAAAGTGATTTTGCAGGTCTGCGTTTTTCTTTCACTGTTGAGGCAGATTAAATATGTATTCCATATTTATAAAATTCTAGCTATGTATAGATATTGTAAACTTCTTGGCACGTCATTTATACATTTTATATAAGAACGAGTTCAGTTATACTGTGGAATCAGTATGAATGGTAACAGTAACATATATACATTTGGATTTTTCAAAATGTAACTCTTATCTAATTTTTCCTCTCAAGGTGTAACTCTTTTTCTAAAATTTTCAAAACATTTCAATTTCATGTTGCGTTTATTGTAAAACAGGTTCTTTTTTGTTGAATATAATTTTACATTCATACAAACAAAGAACCGTAATATTTATGGTGTATATTGTGAAAAGAGATCCTAAAAAGGTTTAGTGTTAAAATATACAATTTAGTAATTTACGTCGAACAAACGTTACAAATAAACGTTAAAAACGTTACCAAATTTTGCTGCATCACTATTCAATTTTTTTTTTTTTTTACTTCTCAAAAATCTTAATCTATGCATTTTTCTGATATAATAAATATTAGAATTCTTAGAACACGCCTATATATCCAAGTGCCGAAGTGCGGCTAATCAAACTCCAACGAGAATAAAGACCACCACATTAAGTTTTGGACTTAATGATCATCGGCTATGTTGTTGTGGTCCAACATAAATATGAGTCTGCTGAGTTTGGTTTCACTGTCTAAATTGGACTGTTTTTGGTTCAACAACTAGTTCAAGCAGTAAAGTATTATTTAAATACAGTTAGTTCAACCGACCATAAAAAGATTTTTCTGGTACATTTGGATATTAGTGATTTACACGTTGGTAATATACTAATACCAAACCTTACCTTGTTAAGTACATAGTTATTGGGCTATAAGAAGTTAAATGGGCCAGAAACCATATAGAAAGAATCTTAAAATAAGTTAATTCACGTCGTTTGCTAAAATTTGAAAACAGTATCTTTATCTCGAAAGGACATTATACAAAGATGATGATGTTACACTTAACTACTTAAGGTCGTTTAGCTACATCAACCCACTAGTTTTTCCATATTACATAAAGTCATAAAAGCGATTTTGTATTAGACTTTTACTCACAAATTTCCCTTATTCTATAATTAAAAAGAAGAATTTCCAAAATTATATATTATTTATATGCAATGACAACTTGTGTTGCTTCGTAATTCCAGGTACATTACTCAATTTAATAAAATAAAATGAACCAATAAAAACCAAATCCAGGTCATTATCATGATTTGGGCCGGCCCAATATCACAAAGTCGGCAACACTCTCTCTCTCTCCACTCCTTTATAACTAATCTTCAACTAACCTTTCTCTTTCCCTCTAAAATTTCCACCAAAATTTTCGACATATTTACCAAAAAACCAGCCATTGATCGTAAAACCTTTCCACCACCGCACACCCCCTCACCGGGGGTAGTGCGTCGCCTCCACGCGCCGCCGTTATCTTCTACGTCACTCCTGAAACAACACTCGTGGTCTCCGGATCTAATCCGCGAAGAAGCTTGGTCAAAACGTCAAGATACCTCCCGCCACCGTCATCGCCGCCGTGGAAAGAGCTTGACGGATGAAGATCTCGACGAGCTTAAAGCAAGTTTCGAACTCGGATTCGGTTTCGGATCTCCCGAAATCGCCGATCCGAGACTTTCCAACACGCTTCCCGCGTTAGAACTTTACTTCGCCGTTCAAAAAAGCTACAACGACGCCGTTTCTAACAAATCAGCAACGTCGTCTTCTTCACTCTCCGAGGGCGATACCAGTCCTCACCACACCGTATACCAAACCAGTATGTATAAACCTATACACACACATATATACACATACAAGATTATAATGATCAATTTTCATTTGAATAGGCGATGATCCTCAAACGGTGAAGACGAAGCTGAAGCAGTGGGCGAGAGTGGTGGCGTGCACCGTGAACCAATCGCCTCCGAGATGAAAACTTAACGGCGTTAATTTAAACGTGGTGGGGATAAATATTGAGACGGCTAAATAGTCGGTGGAGTCTAGTCATTATTGTAATATTACACACGCAATAGTAAAATACCAACATATGTTGGACCCAACTTGTTTATAAGTGTATTGTTTATTGTATAATGCATGATTCGATTTGATTGATCTTTTTTATGTGATATATAATTTTTTAAATGCAACAGAACACAATTTGCAAAAGTATATTCTTAGATTCTGTTGTTTTGAATTTTGTCAAGCATGGCCATGAGTGTGGTGGCTTCTATTATATTCGTTGGTTATATAGCTTTGATAAAATGATTAAATAAATTTATGTGATTTTGCATATACTATTGATTAGTTCAGATAAACTGTTGTGTAAACTGATTAATAAGTTGACTGATTTTTTTTAGCAAATTCGTTTCTCGGCTAAAATATGTGATTCACATGTTCGATGTTTTTATGTGTAACCCTGGGCATAAAAACCAGAACCGAAGAACTGAACCGGTTTGGTTATGGATACCACTAAATACTCGAATGGATCTCAGTCACACTATCAACTGGATATGGGTAATAACCGAACCGAACCGAATATTCATGGGTATCCGAATGAAACCAAAAATATTTGGTTAATCCTCTACAAACCTACATCTAAGCCCAATACATTTTGTTCCAACCTCTAACCCAATAGATTTTTGTTAATTTTTTGATATTTTAGCCCAATATATTTTGGTCTATTACAATTTTGTCCAAAAAGTTTAAAATATTGGGGTGTTTCGGTTTTTTTTTGAGTATTTTGGTTTTTTTCGGTATTTTAGGTAAAATAACCGGAACCAAAACCAAACTGAATCGATATCCATTGGACTTTGGTTATTTATCGGTTCTCTTTCTAAGTATCTGAACCGAACCAAACCGAAACTCTTTCGGTTACCTTATAGATTCTAAGGGGTTGGAATCGAAGAACCGAAAATCGAAAGAACTGAACCGAATTGGAACCGAAGAACCGAACACCCATGCTGTTACACAATCATCAAAAACACATCTGTGTTAATAATGGGCCTTCATTATGAGGCCCATCTGGCCCATTTTGTTACTGCTTTTTAGTATGAAACCAACTATGGAAAGCAGAAACGTTAATTCTCGAATTCGACGCGCAAACTGAAAGAGCTTTATCGATCGATCTGGAGGATTCGTAGAAGATATGGTTCGTTCGTAACTTTTGATTTTTTCCTTCTTTTTATTTACAGCGACTAGCAATTTCTTAGGATCTCTAGTTAACAATTTTGCATTATGGGTTTTCAAGATCTGATTTGTATTTTAGCGAATGTTAGAATGAAGAAATTAGGGTTCTATGATTGAAGATATTAGGTCGAAAAATTGATCTTTTTCTTACACTTTTTAGATTTCACGAGAAACCCTTGTCGTGTTAGAGCTGAGATTTTGTTTGTGGTAATTTAAGCTGTCTTTTATGTTTGGTTTTTTTTTTTTTTTTGGACAAACGTCTTATGTTTGGTATGTTAAAGAAATTGGAATTTGATGTTATTACTGCAGTCGAGTTTCAACAGAGGTGTATCGAGGAAAGAGAAACCGAGACGTCATCATGGGTTGACGACGCAGAAGCAAGAGATTAAGGAAGCTTTTGAGCTATTTGACACTGATGGTTCTGGTACCATTGATGCTAAAGAGCTTAATGTTGCTATGAGGTAATTTTTGAGAGTTTTGTGTGTTTTTTTTTCTTTTGTTTTATGATTTTGGAATTGATCTTGAAGTTATGATTTGTGATAGGGCGCTTGGTTTTGAAATGACGGAAGAGGTATTATTATTTGTTTCGTTTTCGTTTTGTGGCTAAGATTTGTTGTTTTATTACAATTCTGATACTTTGATGTGTTGGTATTGTTGAAGCAAATCAACAAAATGATAGCTGATGTGGACAAAGATGGAAGTGGAGCGATAGATTTTGATGAGTTTGTTCATATGATGACTGCTAAGATTGGTGAAAGAGACACAAAAGAAGAGCTCACTAAAGCATTCCAGATCATTGATCTTGATAAAAATGTATCAACTCAATAACTTAGTTACTTACTTTCATTTGATCTTAATTTGTCTAGAAATTAACCTTTTTTTCTTCCAAATTTAGGGAAGATATCTCCGGATGATATCAAACGCATGGCAAAGGACTTGGGTGAGAATTTCACTGATGCTGAGATACTAGAGATGGTTGAAGAAGCAGACCGGGACCGTAAGTTTCCAACAATTTTTTCTGTTTCTCTTGTGGCAATGTTTGGTTTGATTAAGATATATGATGATCCACTATTACAGGTGATGGTGAAGTTAACATGGATGAATTCATGAGGATGATGAGGAGAACAGCTTATGGTGGTAACTAGAAAGGTTTGTTCTTAACGATATTGATGAGCTCTGTTATAGTTCTTGAACTGATGCATATTATCTGTATATTACTCGAGGTACACATATCATAGTTTTAATCTATAGCTCATCTTAAATGGCAAGTCTTGCCGTCTTGGTCTGTCTTTGTATCGTTGTAAGATGTATAAAATACTTTCTTGGCAAAATTTCGTAGTGTTAGTGAGTTGATAAGTCTCCTGTGAAAAAACTTTAGGAGCTCGCATTGCGTTAAATCTTTAGGTTACTTCACAAGTCCTCAAGATTGGAACCTTTGCGTTAAAGCTGTCGATTCATTGCACAAGGGTTTTGACAAAAAAAAGTAAAACATAAAAGAATTAATTCAATAAGAGTTGCTGATTTATAGAAGATAAAATAAGTTGACAACAGATACATTGGAGCCGTGAATTGGGTATTCTACACCGAAAACCTCACGGCAATTTTTTACCAACCATAATAATAAAACTAATCATACCAAAGTCCCCATATAATGAACCCCCAAACGAGTAAAGAAGAGACAAAATCTAATTATCTAATGAGAATAAAAAGGTAAAAAAAAAAAAAGCTAATTGATATATGGGAAAATTGAAAGGAAAAAAAAATCCAGATCTTCTTATGAAGCCAAAGCTGGTTGGGTTATTGGGATGAGTTTGTATCTGAACTGGACCTGGATGGTGAAGAATCATCAAATTGAGGGGGAAGTGGTGGTGGTGGTGGTAGAGGAAGCAGAGGCATTGCTGTTACAGTCTGCTTAGCCACATAGATTGCTTGACCTTTGGGTTATTCGGAAAGCCTCTTCTCTCTGGCCATGGGTGGGTTTCTTCCATGGTAGCCTGATCTCCGGTTTTTGCTGGTGCTGGTGTTGGTGGTGGTGGCTGGACCCACCAACATGCTGAGACTGCGAGTTCTTTCTCCTGAGAAGATTGTTGTTGTTGTTGTGTTGTTGTTGTTGTTGTGGTGGCTTGAAGCCAGGACCATTTGGATTCTGAATGTTGTTGCTGTTGGGATCGGATAAGTTGGTGGTGGGCTTTGCTGGTGGAGCACAAGTGGTGGAACTGTAAGCGTTTGAGGAGTCTACCATTGCATCTAAAACTGTGGATGCTTGAACGTTGGGATATCTGTAGGAGGAGGAGGAGGAAGCAGTGTTGTAAACTGAGGTGATGGAGATTGGAGCCATCTGTTGCTTCCTGCTGTTTCTGCATTTGCATCGTTGGAGGACCCGAAAATGGCATGTAAGGCCACCGTGCTCGACAGGCATCTCCTGAGAGAAGACTGACCCACACCATATAATAAATATGAAGTCGATGGATTCTTCTACTTCTAAGCATTGTTGGGAATCATAATGATGGGATCAAATACCTGGAAAGGGGATGGATCAAACATTGGCATAGGAAGGTGCTGAAGAGACGCAGGTACAATGTTACATTGCATGGAAGCCACATTTGGATTGTTTACATCACTATCTCCTCCAACCGGAGAAGAAGACACGTCTGGGTTGTGTTTCCAATCTGGTTGTTTTCCAGATGGGATGTAAGTTGTTCCCATGAAACTCAACCCTCCAAACTGTCCAACGGGTGCAAAGTGGTTATAAACGAACATGTGAGGAGGACCCTGAACGCCAGGAATAGCACCGGGTGGGGTTAGGAAAGGACCCGTGAAACCGGCAGGAGGGGCATAGAAGGAATCTACTCCAGGATGATTCTGCTGCTGCCAGGTCGTAGGTAGACCAGAAACTGTTACTGGACCTTTCTGGGACTGTGATTGGGTTGCTCCTGCGTCATGGTGCGGGCCAAAAGCAAAGATGGGTCCTCTTAACATGGGGTTCACATCATAGAAAGGGTAATGAGGAGGGCCTGGAGGGAAATGAGTGATCATTTGGTTTGAGTTGTGTGGACTTGGTAATTGTGGCCACACAGAGATTGGGGTGTCCACTGAAAGATCTGCTGGGAGAGAAACAATGAGAGACTCCTCAGCTTTTTGATAGACTAGGCTGCCCACCAACAGCACCTGCCAAAGCGAAGTAATTACTTTAGACAACAAACATTCAAACAACCATTGGGAATGCATAAACCCGACAGAAAGCAAATATTACCACTTGATGCCCCTTTATCTAACTTTGATCCTCCATAAATTTTGGTTTCAACAGGTAATACAGAGCCAGTACTTAAGGCATTCCCACTGGTTTCATCATTAGTTATGGCTGCCACAGCTATAGCTGAAGCAGCAGCTTCTGCTTCTGCTTCGCAAATCTCCATGCCAGTGGATGATGGATTTTCGATGTTTATTATCTTTTTCAAAATATAAAGAGCTATCATTCTCCGTACGCCACCACATGGAGGGATAACAGTGGAAGATGTAACTGCACCTAATAGAGAGAAAAGATGCATCATTTAAATGCAAAGACGAGCCACTTCAAAGTGACATCGATGTATCTAGTCCATCAGCTCACCAAATTGAATTTGCCCTCGGCAAGCAATGAATTTATTGGACTTGTGCTGCTTGAAAAAGTATTGTTCTTTGGCACACAGACGTTGATGTCGAATTTGCCTCGCTAATTCGGTTAGCACCATTCTCAACAGAAACACATGAAGAAGAGATACAGGTTTCATGGCTTCATCAAGCTGACTCTGGGTTAGGGCCATAACCTACAAGGTAATACCAAAAGGCTTCAGATATTTGCATAGGCATAATCTTTGACTAGTAAAACATGAGTCATAAAACAATTTTGATTTTTATCCACTATGACTTTCTGTCTTATTATAAACCATTCTATCAACTTTATAAAAAGAGAATATGAGATGCGGCATGGAACACAACCGTTTTAGATGACACGGAAAAGATTAAGCAAGAATTTTGCAGAAACATTTTTTTGTTGGAAGTCTGTTTCCCGATTTTTGCAGAAACATGAATCCACGTCAAAACAAGTTAATGAAACTAACAATATATACTCACCGGCTGATAGGTGAGTTGGTTACCCCCAAGTCCCCACAGGTGTATGACTGTTATCCAGAACCTTATTTTTGTTGCTGAATACAAACCTGACGCCTGGATTCTGATCATTTTTGGGTATAACTGGAAAGAGCATTACTTGCCTGGGTGGACCTGCAAAATGAAATAGAAGGTAAAAAACATAAACAGAGGGGAGATATCTCTGCAAACACACTTGAAGCATTTCAATTGATCAAATAGAGGAATGTACTTGTTGCTCCCAGATTTTTCATCAGCATGGGAATCTGTTTTAGGGGAAGGTGTGCCAATAGGGGCTAACGTCTGTCTGTTGGAAACGGGATTAAACTGCTTATTGTTCGCAACTCGGCTAGCTGGTGGGCTTCTGTTGGACCTGGCTGCAGTAGTACTGTTTCTGGAAAGTTGAACGAGGTTTTCGGAATGCCTACAAAAAACAAAATTCACTTTTAGTGGGAACTACCTCAGACTAGGGTAACAATTCACAAGTAGAACACTAAAGGTTTTAGATTGCATCAGGACCTTGGCTGCCTGAGACTTCTCTTTAATTTCCTTTTCTCTCTGTTCACGGCGATCATTAAGCATTTGCCTTTTTGATCTTACCTCAATAAAATCATCATCGTCACTAGGAACTTCAATACCATGTTGCTCAAAGACACGAACAATGCCACTCTGCAAAGGTGCATCAATTTCCTTTTCAGATATCATATTCCTTTTAAGGTTTGCTTGTCCAGAATTTGGACTGAGTGGATTCTTCACGACAGAATCTTTCCCAAGTCTATTCTCAAATGAACCCCACTAACTGTTTTCTGCATAGCATTCAAACCAGACGCTGAGCTGTCTAAGGGTTGTTTCTGGGACTTGTTGGACACAACATATTTTCTACTCCCATTTTTTGTAGAATTTTGTGCCCTTCCATTGCCATTTCGATTCTCCTCGGAAGATGGCCAGTTTGATTCCCGAACTCTAAATTCAACCCTCTGACGCCGATATCTTCTATTACCACCAGAATCTACCCGAGAAACCTCAGCAGTACCTGATGAGCGCAAGCCAGAATTTCTAACTGCATTTGTGTCAGTTTGGACTTGGTATCCTGATTGTCTTTCAACAAAATTTGATTTTCCATGACTCATCTTTCGAGAAGGTAATAGCGAATTACCAGACAACTCTGGTTGCTTTTGAGGTGACACAGCAGCCTCAATACTTGCTCTCGCTGGAGGTAGATTAACATTTTTCAGTGTGCCCCCATCAGAAACATTCGTTTGGTCTTCTAAGAACACTAAGCTGAGGGTGTGAGACAGAGGTTGCTGTGTTTCTAGCAAGCAGGTTAGCTGAATTTCCTTGACCTAGCTGAACAGTCACCGAGGATCCAGGATTCTGATTCAAAGCATAAGTTGGTAAACCATTCGCTTGGACAACTGAATGATGTGGCGGTGGCAGCACCCCTTGGGATATTGGGGATGTATATCGTAGTTGACCAAACTGAATGACAGGAGATTGGGGCTGTTGGATATGGGTAAGCGAGGAACCAAATTGGGGATGAAGAGGAAGAGGCATTTGGATGGAACCAATCTGTATGGCAGGGAAAGGAGAAGGTATCAGCGAAGGACCAGAAAACAAACCAAACTGAAACTTAACAGGCTCCTCCATCTGTGCTGAAGTAGATACAGGAGGAATAGCTGTCTGAAGAGATGGATGCAGACCAGTGCTGTGAGGTGGTATGACCGGATGAGTAGAAACGGTAGAGTTACTCGTGGAGTCTACTTTATTGCCCACCTCAAATGACTGCCGACCACTATTTGGGTGAATTGTCATGTTCTGCATCGTGGTTTCAGCAGCCTGGAAGCTCCTAGATGCATTATGCATGCTCAACGGATCAGAAACGTCAGCAGGTTGGGCGGCTTGTTCTACACGGCTTGTCTCAATAGAAGGTCTTTCATCATCTAAAGAATCGACAGTATGCTGATGAAGGGGAAATGTAGCTTCGGAGTTCCGTTGACATTTTTCAAAGTCATCGCTGGGTATTTCAACCTCCACTCCTTCATTAAATCCTAAGACTAGATTAGAGTCTTTATCCTCGAGATGCATTTCTTCTAACTCTTGGGCGAGATCTATGTTCTCATCAACCCCGTGTATTTTATCCTCCTCCTGGTATCCATCTTCATCTTCGTCGTATTCTTCTTGTTCCTGCAACCGTTCATTACTGTCAAGAGTCCATTCTTCATTATCCCAGCAAGACACAGAGCCTGTAGCAATCATCAAACTATCCTTTCCAGTATCACTAGAGATAATTGGTGCTTCCCCCTTCTCTAACAAACCAGTATCTTCTCCCATTCTGGAAGCAGCTAAGACAGATAAATCTGCTGATTCATCCAAGTCATCATGAGAGAGATGAACAGGGGAATCAGGTGGGCTAGTAACAGAAAGTGAAGATTGAGAGTCACATCTTCCAGTCAGCTTGCTATCGAACCGATGATGTTCATCAATACCACTTCCGGGCAGCACATGATGATCTTGAAGATCCTCTATATAATTGGCCAGAACAGTCGAATTAGTCCTACCTTTATGGCTGTAGTTAATCCCTCCAATAGAAGTTGAGGGACCAGGATGCTCAACCTCGCTTCTAAAGGATGCCTTTTGCCTAGACTCCTGGGGAGGGGGAAGAACACGTGGCTGCCTTACTGAATACCTTGGTCTTCCAAAAGGGTAATAGTCATCCCCCTCGGGATTCTGATACAACTTTTCAGGATAAGGAGAATATGGACCATGCCGTGGACGGCCCTGGCTTTGTCCCCATCCAGGATCACCATATTGCTCTCCAAAATTTTCACGAGATTCAGATTCCATTCCATAGTTCCTACCATGGGTCCTTCCATCTCCAGGAATTCTCCAACTCTGATCAACTGAATGTTCTGGGAACCCTGGTTTGAAGTAGGACGGGGCACTGAGATATCCAGCTGTCCCAAAGAATTCTTCCTGCGGGCTATGTGGAGCATTCTCCATATTTTGTGGAATAAACCTCGAATTGCTTCCACTCTCAATATCTTCCTTTCTCCAAGTAGGCTTTTGTCTATCAGGGAACCCAAAAGAACCATCTCTAGAAAATTGAGACATGGCACTGCTCTCAAATGATCTAATGGGTACTGATAGATCTAAAGTTGATGAGGTAGTAATTCTATCCACCATTCTTTCGCTGTCTTCCCAGTCAACAACATCTGCAGACTCTTTTTCTTTAACAATATCTAAGAATTTATCCTCTGAAATAGTTGAAGAGCTGCTGCAACCTTTGGCAGCTTCAGCCTGTCTCCTGGAAATCTTTTCTTCCAACTCTAGAAGCTTTTGCTTAGCAGCCTGCTTCCTCCTTTCTTCTTCCATGAACAACCTATGTTTCTCCTCTTCTTTTGACTTTCTCAACTCTTCTGCCCTCCTTGTAGCCTCTAGTCTCTCCTGCTCGTTTCTGAAAGCAGCTTCTCTGGCCTCTTCTTCTAATCTTCTATGCCGCTCATCTTGTTCGCGAGCCAGCCGTAGTCTCTCTTCTTCTTCTGTTCGAGCTAGTTCTATCACCCTTTCCTGTTCCTCGATGATCCGCCGGCGTTCCTCTTCCTGCATCTTTTGAACTCGCTCAAGTTCAGCCTCAAATGATTCCCTGACAGGATCGTGAAACTCTGTTTGCTTTAAAGCCTCTTTCTTCTTTTTAGCAACACCAAGTACTGGGAATGGATCATGGACATCAAAAGCAGAGTCACCAAAGTCTTTCATAAAAGGATCTTCCACATGAGGTTTGTCACTCTTGAAGAATGGGCGTTTATCCCTGCAAGAAGTTCATATTGAGATAATTAATTAAAAAAATATTGTCACAAAAGTAAACAACCTCTAGACGCAGAGCCATACTGGAAAGAGTTAGTTCATACCTATTCTGATGTTCAATTCCATACCCATCCCGATTATAAGTTCCCCTGTTGCTGGAACTATCCATATTATTATTCCATGGCTGTCTTCCTCCATGCTGATATGGAGCCTCTCTAGCTCCACTATTATTCCAAACATTTTCCCTTGATGATGACAAGATGTAATTACTTTTCTTAGCAGCTTCTCTGCCCCTACTAGACGGCCTTGCTCCATAACATTTTTATTATTATTTGCACCTTCATTTTGGAGTGGTGGGGAGACTCTCCAAGCGTTGGCCTCCCTTCCTCCTCCACTGAGTGGTCTTACTTGAGTCAAAGAGGACTTTGCAATTTCATTTCACGCTGTCCTGGTTTATCAAAAAGACTAGGAGCAGCATGCTTCTGGGGCAGGACATGAGGCCTCGGATGATCAAAACCCCTATCCCAAAATGGTTCATTCTTTGAATAGCCATGATCCCTGTCCCGATCTCTTAAGCCATGACTAGTGTCACGCTCATCATCAGCCCAATCAGATCGTGGGGGCCAACGAACAAGAGGCAGTGGCCCCTGGAAAATACTCCTTTTTCCTCACCTGTTCAGATGAATGTATCCATCTGAGAAACTAGGACTCTCGCCGAGCTCATTACCGAGCCGGCTACGCCCAGACTGGTTTGAGGTCTCATATCTACAAGCGAACTGCTCATACCAGAGACACCTCTCGGCTCTTTTGAAAAATCTTCACCTGCAGTTTGTTCTGCTTCTGATTCAGACCCTCCTTCTGTTCTGCAGCCCAGACACAGCAGCTGAAGGCCAAAGAAAGCCTTAAGGGACGGAAAATCTTCACCCCTCAAGTTGCAACTTTCTCTAACATGATGAAAAGCCCGTTCATAGGCTCGGTTGCACCAACCCGAGAAGCAAGAGACGTAATTCAACCCATTAATCCCCCTGGTACACCTTCAACAGTATGGTTAGCAATATCACCATCAGTAGCTGTAGCAGCAGCTTACTCCACCCCATACCAGATGAAGCAGGTCTCGTTCCACTCCCAGCGATTCCTCCACCGGAATGGAAACTGAACCAGACGAATCAACTCGCTCATGCTCCTTACGGAGTGAAGGAAGGTTCAAGGGGGGTGGAACAGATAGCTTCTGCCAGCATTTGCGAGCTTCTAGGCCGTGAAAAGAACAACCATACTCCTCCTCCACCACCACCACCACCGCCATATCCACCACTTCCTCTCCCCCGCCCATAACCTCCAGATTGATTATACTGATGATGAGATTGATATCCATAAGACTTATTCAGATTCACAGACGCCGTACTTGTTTCCATCTCCATGATTAGCCATATCCCGCTTCCGCCGATCACTGAACATCGCCAACGCATCAAACCCTAAACCTAGATCTGATTCTGCCAGTCAAATTCGTCCGCACTCTATTGCCCTCAGATCTACTACACAGTGACGAATTGATCAAAATTGGAAAATCAATACACGAATCTCTCTCCCCTGAATCAAAACAACAAAATTAAACAATCAATTCCAGATTCGATCCTTGAGCGTCGAACAAACGCAGAAGCTAAGGAAAAAATATCCAAAGTGATGGAAAAATCGACGAATTAGGGTTTGAAATCAGCTCGAAACGGCGTGTGGGAAGGCGCAAGAATTACCTCCGGCGGTGGTGGGCGTATGATATCGACGACGGTGGGCTAACGTGCGCTGATGTCAGACGACGAAGCGCGAGGGAACGAATCGTCGGAAAAAAAGGAAGCCATACCCCTACTCACTGCCCTCTTTGTCGGAGATAAAACCAAAAAAAAACAAAAAACAAAAAATTATACAAAGCAAAAAAAAAAAAAAACCAAAGCTGAGGCACGAGAGATAAACCAGGACAAGTTTTACTCTTTTTATGTTTTTTGACCCCGTATTAATCAATCATCTCTTTATTACCCCATAGTTCTCAATTTGATCCATATAACCCCATCCTCTGCTTTCAGATTTCAGTTATGTTACTTTCGATGGTTTTCGATAATTATAAAAATGTAAAACTTCGAAATTAGAAACAAAAAGATATTAGTTTCTTACAAATTTGTTAAGACTTTTCACAAAGTTAAAACCCTAACCCTATACTCTCCGGTTGATGATGAAAACTTCGTAGTCCTCGTGAATCTCTAGTATAGACTCTCCGTTGACGATGAAATCTTTGTAGTCCTCGTGAATCTCTTCTCTTCCATTAATGAACTTTGTTTTGGAGAATGCCTTTCCAGTGATCAATGACGGCTTTTGACTCAGACCTGATTTTAGGGTTACCGTTCTTTGAGAGAAATAGAAGAATACGGAACCGTCGGTTTGGTAATAAGACGAGCGTTAAGAGGTAAGCTTCGCATATGTCTAAGGATCTCAACGCATTGTATGGCTTCCGGAGGAGACTATGTAAAACCCTTTGTCTCTTGCCAACATGAGCGGCTCTTACGGCGGTGCTAATCAGTTCTTCAAGTTGCTTCTTCTTTATCGTTCTTCTTTTTCTGCTTCTTCTCTTCACATGATCGTTCACACATGGTGGTGGGAGATCATCGGAAACAGCCATTGTTTGAGAGTGAAAAAAACAAACGCAGAGAAAACATACTTAAGAAACTAGAGAGAGAAAGAGAAAAGAGGGAGGTTGATGAATAATGTGGGAGATAGACTACCTCGTTGATTATATAGAGCAAAGTTTCCAATTTTGAGATAGAATTGTATTTCGGAAAAAAGGAAATAGAATTTTTTTTTTTTGTTTAATTACGTCGGTTTATTTGATATTAGGAAAACCAAATAAATTTAATTAAAAAAAAACACATGTTCTGACTTCTGATCAACAAATTACATGTGTTGCTTGGGTGCCAAGTTTAAAACCCCATATACCACACACCTTTGGGTTTCGGATGCAGAAGACGTCGAAATCGGTCACATCGTCCTATGTTGATTAATCGTGATTGATGAAGAGAGAGGAAAAACGTAAAAAGCTTTATTACTTTTATTTTTATGTAATGGTTCTACCGTAGAAGAATATATATACAGAGGAAGTGATTATTGTTCACTGCTTTGATCAAGAAAACTTAACAAAAACCCACTCACGATCCGGCGAGCTATTGGATTAGGAATTGTCGGCACAAACGTCCGTCGATGTAAGCTACGATACCTGAAGCAACGAAGTTCCCGATACCAGCTTTCCACATGAACTTCATTTTCTTCTTCTTATTGTCACTAATACTGGTACCATTGCAGTATTGGAACCACTGTCACTAGTCTCGGCCTCTGCTTCTTCTTTCTTTGGCCTAAGACCTGTAATGACCTTAGTGGCGTGCTGTTTTAGTATGCGAATTGCAAAGCTGACAAATAGATGTTCACACAATGTCATCACCGTTGGTCCGATTCTCCATTCCTGATCATATTGAGAGATATATTCACGTGACTCAGGGTCCATCAAAATCAAACACAAAGAGCTTATCCTAATGGAATGGAGTTATTAGAAACCACAACACCCCCAAGTTAAATTTGTGCTTATGCAGAGAAAAAGGCTTGGAATTAAACCTTGTCTCCATGGAGACGGCGTCGAGGACGAGAGCTTGAGGGATCTCCTTTGAGTAAACCCCTGCTTTCGAGAAAATCTTTAACACGGTCTATCATCTCATCTATGAGAGAATTGCTTGGTGGGAGGTTTTTCAGGAAACCTATAAGTGAAATATGTTTGGTCAGTAAGGGAAATAGGAAATTCATGATTTCGGGTTGGTATGAATCATCTTTTGGAGACATTATGAATCGGTTTATTGGAATGGCAAAGCAAATCTAAGTTAGAGAAATATTGTTTACCTGATCGTCAATGACTTTGACTCTCAGATACTCTTGTCTATACATTGTATCCAACATAGCTTGAAGGTATCCTTCGATGTATAACTGCAAGGAGTGAATTTGAGCATACACGTAGATGGACATGAGAAAAAGCTCTATGCATAGAATTTTCTCAGTTTCTCTTTTATACTATAAAAATGAAAATATTTAAATTGAAAGTATAAGACAAGGCATGAAATATCACCTCATCAATACCAGGATTACGATCAAGCTTAATTGTTCTATCAGGTCCACCTTCCATCAAAGCTGTTCCTATCACAGACGGTTCCATTGCCAGTTTAAGGATTCCATGGTGGAAACCGCTAACCTGAGAGCAGAGAGAGAGAGAGAGATTATAAAAAAGACCATAGTGGTAATTAAATTCAACCTACCGGATCATAAGTAGATGAGTCCTCACCAGTCCATCAACACCTTTCATTTCTGCACCCCTCAGAACAGAGTCGGAGATTTCAGTGAGAGCAACAAAGACGACATTGGATCCTGCTGTTCTTAGCTGCAATATGGTATTTGCATAAGAGGTCGAATGAAAAAAACATTCACGAGTCATGTACTATTTTGATACTTACAGTTTTCCCAAGATCACCAAAGTAACGCCTTGTCCCTGACAATCCTTTGTTGTCAATAAGTTTGCTGAGGAGTTTGAAGGTGCCTACAACAGATATAAGCAAATTATATTTCCACCTTAACTGAGATTTAGTGCATATGGAAGCCAAAATTGAAGGTATCGAAACCACGAATGCTCATCGCTTACCCACTGTCAAACCAGGGACGTTCACCAGGCCTCGAGAAGGATCAAAAAAGGCATCAAGAGAGGACGATGAAAAATCATCAAACATGGATGCGAAAGCTGGCGGAAGCAACGGACTGCCCTTTGCAATGTAGATTGCTCTCATTGCATACCTAGGGAGCACTTATGCAAGTTAATAATATCTATAACAGAGGACCGTTTACTTGGAGCTTCTCGCATATAAGGAAAAGATGATACCATGAGTAATGTTTTACACATCGGAGAAGTAGTTCGCGAACCGTTATCAAAGCATGAGTGACCAGTACACCATTTAGCTCTACAACCATATTTTTTATATGTGGAACCTACATAAAACGAAGTACCAGACAAGCATTTGCTCATAAAAAATGATGTGCATGTGAATATACACAAAACAGCAAAATTAAGAAGATAAAATGAAAATTCTGATACCCATACCTTAACCACACTATGCAGTAATGACCTCAGAGTTTCTTGAGCTGAGTTATAGCTCGAATATGAACTCCCAGGAACAAAATTAGCAGTAATCTAATTGAAGAAAAAAGAAAGAGAAACAGAGGTAGTATTTTAAACATAGCATAGAGTAGAAATTGAAAAAGAAGGCAAATAGAGCAATTGTTAGAGCAAACCTTTATTGGATGAATTTCAAAATGATCAAAATAATATTGACTACTTTGCGTATTTGTACTGAGAGATGATCTCCAAAATGCCACAACTCTCATTAAAGTCTCTTCATCTAGGTTCAAATTGACTGGCTGCAAAGTAAAACGTAAGAATATTATATCCAGCAGCATAAGCAGGCATAGATGCCAATACAATCAGTACTTGAAGAGCCAGAAGTTGACTCTGGCTATTAAATTTCCCTAGTCATTAATTTAGACAGTGTGACGAGAAAAGGGTAAGGAGAATTTCAGGAAGAGTGACACAGTAACCGCCTGATACCTGCAAAACGATCGAAGAGTGCTTGACTTGTGTGACACTGGAACCACTTGATACTAGAACGAATACACATTTGAATAGACAATCATTTGCGTCACTTGAACTTGATTGATGCTGACGAAGCATGGCTGCAAAGGGTGCCCCTGCCCATTTGTGATCCACATTTAGAGCCTGCAGTATCCAAAGACAAAATTCATGTCTTATTTCTGCAACCCTGAAAACCAAGCCAATCTATTGCACCTCATAAAAGTATACCTCTATACATAATTGGTTAAATTTCTGTTGGTCCGTGAACATGGAATGTAGACCAACATTGTCAAGTCTCGCCACTAGGATCGGAGAATAAGACATGACAGTTTTCTCCTCTGCATTCTACATAAACATTTTAATACAAAATCAAATCTAGGAGGCAAAGGAAAATCTGGGTTCACGCAAACAAATGCAGGAAAACAGGTATGATGGTCGAAAAGAGAGAAGTACAAGACAGACTTACTTGCTTCACTTTTTCAAGTAAGTGAATTCCTAATGGGTTACTCGGAATTGAATTTTCGAACGAGATTGAAATACTGAGTCTCCTTTAAGGCTTTCTGAAATTTCACAAATGCGAATGACTCGAGTCAGGCCATCTGCATAGACCTCATATCCGACCTTTACCATAGGTATGCTACTCAATTCCTTGTCAGCCGTTTTATGATCTTTGGCCTTCTTTTTCAACATTAAGTGTGAGGCTATGCTTCTATGTTGAGTTGCCTTGAAAAGGGGTTTCCATGGACGGACCTTATCTAAGCTGACTTCACGCAGAGGTATCATGCCTGCAAAATCAAATTTCCAGCTTTTTGGTCAATAAAATAACTATGAGTGCTCAGTAAATCTAGGACGTTATGAAGGTTGATGACTTCTAAGCAGGAAGAATGTTGGAAGCCAACTATTACCATCTACTATAACTACAAGCTTGTGAGGAAGAGTCATATCATCCCATGCATAATCAGCCCCACTTCCCGGTCCAAGTACTTCAATCTCTGATGAATCCTGAAATTAACAAGTAAAAAGCAGTGAAATGATGCACATAAATTCATAAACACATATGTAGCGAAGACAGTAAGTAGGAGCTGACCAACCTTTTGGTAGTACGTAAGAGATGCAGCATGCAAGAAATTTTCAATTCGGTATGGTGGTGGGGTATTTGGTGGTTTTTGGAAGTGCACAGCAAGAGTTGAACCTTCTTCAGTAACATTAACAGATGCAAATTCAATTGCGCCTCTGCCTGCTTCACCTGACTGCTTTCTGAACTTAAGGAAAAAGCACCCAATTGAAGTGATGCATAATGGGCCTGACCAACTCCAGTTTGCTTTGTTCAACCGAAACTGAATGAATATCAATGGATTTGCATTGTCACTTCCGTGCTTTTTGATAAAGTTTTCGAACAGATGGAGTTCTTTCTTCTGGGTGGTTTCTTCCTGCAACCGCAAGGCTGCTCTCTGCTTGCTTTTGATGGTGATTATGCCCACAGAGTCATCCTTCCCAATAAAACAGAAAGCGATAGAAAGAAAAGTAAATAAATCATGTTCATGAGAGGAAAGAAATAAATAAGGGACACAAAACGAACCTGAAAATAGCGCTGGCGGATGTTGATAGTCTCTTCTGATTCATTGATTACAAGATGTCTCGGAACAAAAGTCACAATCCGTGATGGAACAAGCAATTTACTTGAGATTGATCTAACTGACAACCCAAACCTTGTTACATACCGAAACCCAGACTCATCTGTTGTTCCCAAACTAATTTCTGTAAGTCCTGATAAAGCATCCAAATCCAACACTGCTTCAGTTGCCCCATGACCATCAGCCAATATGACACAAACCTTGCGAGATCTGGCCAAACAACATGCTTAGGTAATTTATGAAAAGATAATGGGTAAAAATAACTATGTACTGAGCACGGATAGCATACCTTAAAAACCACGATCCTTCTGTCTTTGGGGGCAAATACAATCCAAACTCAGGGGGGACAATGTGATCAACTTTCTCCATATCCTCCCTGCATTGTTTACTGTAAATGTATATAGCCATCACCAATTTAAAGGAT